AAAAAACCAAACCACAAAAAACAATGCACCTTTTTTTTTTTTACATTACAAGGGAGAAGTAGGAACCCAATTCTATGCAGTGAACCCCCTTAGGCAATAAAAGCAACAGAAATATGACTCTCAGAACAATTTAACATCAAATTTATCTGATGATTTTTCAGGTCTAATGACAAAAGCAAAAAGAAACAGGCTAATGGGAAAAAGAAAAAGAGTACTTACAAATTTATAACCCTATCCAAGTGATGCTTTGAGCAAAATTGCTGGCTGCTCTTGTCTTGTTTATGCTGACTCTGTCCCAGCTGAACAAACCTGAGAAAAGCAGTAGACAGGAGAATAAATCAAAGAAAATAAAAGAACTATCCCCCAAAATTCAGCAAATGAAAGAAAATGACACCAAAAAATGAGTCTTTAGGTCATGTTATGCAAGTCACTGATCAAGAACTACTTCTCTGGTAAAAAAGAGAAATTCTTAAAACTTTGCAGGGGGTGCATGTGAGAACCCAGCAGCTTCTTTTAGCTTGAAAAAGATTTGCCTATGAATTGGTGCAACCTAGTATGTCATGGGATAGGAAGAGGCCTCTGCTCCTATGAAACAGGCAGCCCACAACAGTCAACTTCCTATGTCTTTTTCAAAGCAATCCCTCAGGTGAACCCTATGGGAAAAGCCTACAGAAGAGACAGAAAGTGTCTCAAGTTTCAGATTTAAGTCAATCCTCAGCCAAATTCAATCCAGTTTATTCAGCTGAAATGCTATTAGCCCAGCTCACTTATTTACAAGCAGAATCTTTTGGGAGAATTCCCCCATCACCAAATACTTGCTGGAAGACACTGAAGATGGAAAATAACATTACAGCTTTTTTTCTTGGCAATGAATTGGAGCTAAATTTTAAAAAAAAGTTATTCACTAATCTCATTCACTCCGTGTAAGGGGAGAAGTCAGAGGGTTTCAAATATATGTATATGTAGTTATCTTGCACTTGAACTCAATTTTTCACTCTCCAACACTTCTGTGCTACTGAAAACAGAAGCAAATGTTAGTTGTGATTTAATGCTTTAATCTTCTGAGGTGGAGGGTTTCTCTTAATAGTTAGCTTCCATTTAGCTTAAAAATAGTCTTATTGATCTATTTCAGAAACAATTACTATGTTTAACAATTAACAGCCCAAAAGAAATTCCATGGAAAAGTGTGCAGAAGACAAAGGAACAATACATTCCTAAACAACTTCTTGTGGCTTTTCTTTCTGCTCCATTCAGATTCTATGCTGTAGAAACAAAAGACTCAGAAACATGCGACATCACTTTGGATGTTGAAGGAATAAATACTTACATTTCTAAGTAAGAGACTTGTAAGTGTAAATAAAGATAATTAAGATCATCTAGCCCAGGGGCTTGCTATTGAAACAAACTTTAAAAAAAATCCCAATAAAAGCAAACTAAAGGTGTAAGTATTTTTATTAATTGCTTCAAATTATCCAATAATCTGAAACAAACAAGGCCTAAATGAACACAAGCAGGTTACCAGACATCAAAAAGACATCATGCACAGTTATCCGCAGTATAAATCCTCAAATTATTTGAGGGACCTCCTGCCCCTTTCAGTCTCAACCAATCTGTGCTTCTCTGATTTCTATTTTGATGAGAATTAACACAAGTTATCCTAGCCATCAATTCATATGGGCTGAACAGAGTCAAATCACTTTTAATTTGCATTTGCATATAGACTTAATATAGAACAGTTGACGTAAAGTAACTTAATCTGATGTACTTCAAATCTGAGAGTCCATGATGCTGATAAAGAAAAAAATACCTAACATGTCCAGCGGTGTCAAGTCGAGCCAGGATCTTACATCTCCATTTCCCGTATAACAATAATAGAAGAAGACTTGAAGTGAGAACTGTAACCACACTGTGAAATAAATTGCTGCTACTCTCAAATGATGTACATTGTAATAAAGGATGTCAGTAAAATCTATACTTTCCACATAAATCAGCACACCAGACCATAAATAGCACTAGTCTTGTTAGCCAAAAGAGGTAAGAAATTTGTAATAGTTATATTTTTAAAACCTGCATTGCTTGAGGCAAATGAAATAAATGCAAGCTTTCTTTTGGAGTTTACAATGCTACTGTAACAACAGACTGAATGTCAGTCCAGCCTGAAAAATGATAAAATGGGAAGTAGCTGCAATTCTAAATGTTACCACAGAGCTGTTCATCTGCATAAAGTGACTTGTAGTAGACACCAGCTCACACCAGGCCATTTGCAGAGCAACAATAACTACCTGGTATATCAAAGGGTAATTGTCAAATTTGCATCCATTTTCTAGAGGTTACAATAAAGAGCCAAAGTTAGAGGCACAGGTGAAGTTAAAAATTTCAGAGGTAATGAGAAACATCCTCCTCAACCCCATTCAAGTGTACTATCTTGAAATTACACAGCGTGAAGGAAATAGGTAGAAACGGGAATTTCAAAGAACCAAATAGTGCAAGAGAAGTAGCTACCCCTACAGAAAAACTAACAGAAAAAGGCTTTTAAATAAAAAGAAAAAAAAATGCTTTGAGAGGATTAATGAACTAAGCCAGGATGAACCATCACATACCACCAAGTGAGAAGATATCATAGGGAATTAAAACTTCCCTCACAAGTTGAAAAGGTTTCAAATATAACAAGGTAATCACTGCTATTACACACTAGAAAAACAAACGCACCCGAGCCCACTTCAATGCATGCCTCACAAGTATTCACATCAACATACACACAGTGTTTTCCTGAGATGATGTGTAGTTTTCTTACACCCCTTTTCTCAAACTCCATTAATTGCACATTCTAAGCAGGTGTTTAAAACATTGGTTTATTAAGCAAATGCAATTGACTTGCACTCCTGGTGTCTTGCATAAGCAATCATTCTCTTGGCAACAGCATTATAAGCCTTTAGGAACTAAAAGGATCTTCAATTTGGATCTAAAATTCTCCAACTGATCTCTAGCACTGAATTACCATTATTCTGACTAGTTTTAAAAGAAAAACATTTCAGTTCAGGAAAGAATCTCCTCCACCAGGGAACTGAATAAGTAACTTTTTGGTTCAGTTCTAGTTCATCTATAACTGAAATCATTCTAATTCCGTTTTGGTTTGAGTTAAAAAACTTTCAAAATGTGCAAATTAATTTCTGATTTAAGAATAAAAGAAGATTTGAACCAGTTTCTTTTCAGCTTCAGTGTTATTCTGTGATATTGAGGAGAGAATCTGAGAACAGCAGCATAAGTACACATTTTTTTCACAACATAGCCAGCGCTCACATTAAGCCAGCAGTGCCCAGCTCCTGAGGAGAGCCTGCAGGTTCTGTGCAGCATGCTGCCTCCCTTTGTAGCAGTTTACCCCGAAGTGCAGGAACTGAGTGGGAACTTGCTGGACCACCTAAGGAGCTGTATTTTGTCTCGCACTATGCTGTATCTTACTCATTTCCTGTAGGTACGGTTTGTATTCACAAAATCATTTCTTAAGAACAAGTGGCAGTGTGATGCTGCTCAAAATGCAGTGTGTAAGAGCACATTATTACACACACTAGGTTAGTGCTGTGCATATATATACACACACGTAAACCCACACACCACATATATTTGCATGTCATTATTTCATGACACTCCAATAATGGCAAGGGCCAAAGTGACTTCTCCCTCTCCTGAAACTTACAGTGCAAACATCTGTCACTTAGATATCCAGGCTTCTACAGTGTGAGTTACTCTGATCGCTTTTCTCAACTTTTCTCCTCACGCTCTATACCAGATTTAGTAACGGTCTCAAGGTTTCCTTGAACATAAAAAGTCATACAACTATTTAAATTCGAGTAAAAGGTAACAGTTAACACATATCTCTATGAATAAGACATTATGTTAAAAAAAGACTTGACTTCTTCAATGTTTTGCATGCATTTTTACGGAAAAGGCTATTTCACTTACGACTGATTTGACTTAGTGTAATACAGCATTTGAAAAATGCAAAAATTACAGACTACATAGCTTAGAACCATGGAACCACTACTAGTATGGAATTTGCTTACTAATTTCTAGGACTACATTAAGTGACAGGTATTTCTGTTGAAGCATCTTTCCTTTGATTTAAATTCCAAATTTTGCATTCAGAGACATCTGAATAACTTTCACTGAAATCAGAGTCGGAACAGACATCTGAAAACAGTTTGATTTCAAAACCAGAATAGTACATATATCCAAATATCTCTAGAATTTATAATTTAAATTAAGTTTATTCGAAGGCAGCACTTTGACAAACTGTATTTAAAAAGCTCAAATTATCTTTTACTGATTACCACTGGAAATTTATCTCACCTAGTGTATATTGTGAGATCATCTTCTGAAGGAACATCTGAAAGATTGACTCCATACACATCTTTTGTTGATTGCACTACAGTCTGGAACATAAGAAGAAAGATTCAGACTGAGGATACCATAACAACATCCAAACAAAAGTTCGCTTTCAAGCAAGGAATTCTTTCTAAACTGGAAAAGAATCTCAAGAGTGCAGGCAAAACCAAACAAGTTTCTCATACACATAGCAATTTTAGCTTGTGCATGTTTTTTTTTCTTAAAATAAAAAACATTTATTAAAAATATTATTCAAGACATTTGTTCAACAAGTAAAGGAAATGATTGCTGAAAAATAACATCAGATAAAACCACATTAGGAGAATAAATTATATTTATAGGACATATAATGATGTAGGTATTAAATTCTGGTCTGTGTCGAAACTTAATATAGATCATATTAATTCAGAACATGCTCCCACATTGGCTTTCACATTTCCTGCTGTCAACTCTGAAATAATTACAAACTTCAGGTTGAACAAAACTATTTTTATTTTGTATGTTACACAATCACGTCAGTCAACTATAACAAGGAGCCAATGCACACGCAATACTTCACTATGTCTAACGATTGAGTGTTTAGCTGAGGGGGTTCACTGCCAAGACACATGTGACTGCAAGTCAGTCAACTCCAAAAATAGTTTTCTTTTAGTTCTTAAAGATTCAAAGTCAAAGAAGAACTTTGGAAAGCTATGTCCTGACCAGAAGTACAAAAGCATTTTATTATTAACTTCCCTGAGATGTGAATAGAAAGGAACTAGCTGTTTGGGTTCCCCCCTGCCCCCCGTAACGATACGATTTTTCTCTACAATTGATGATGTAAAAAATTCAAATCCCTGAGCAAACATCCAATCATTATGGAATAACCACATTCACTCCAGAATGCACCTAAAAATATAAGCTCACAAATATCAACCCTTTTACACACAAAAATACCCCACACTACTGTTCACCCAAACTTCCAGCATTTTTGAACAATACTGTACACAACCCGCTTTCACAAATAAGAAAACAGAAAAGTGCAGACTGACACTGCAGTGGAGTGCTAGTAAGTTGTCAGTTTAGCTAACAGAGACATAAAGCGCAGTATTTGTAACCTTAGGCTTTTAAGTGTGTTCTTCATTACAGTTTCTTTTTTTAAGGTAAGCTTAACTTGAGAAAAAAAAAAGATTCCGAAACATTTCTGTGGCTTACCAGTTCTAGAAAATACACGCCTATTTAATCAGCTAGGTAGATTATCACCTTTTCCAGTCATAGCTGATTTGTTTCTTGTTACATTATTCAGTTTAGCCATCAAGTTTTGAAACCCTCCATTACAGGTCTTCTTTTTAAATTTTTAACTACATGTGTAGACACAACAAATAATTGCCATTGCCAGAAAAAGAATTCCAAAACATTTTTTTAAAGGCCTATATTTGATGATATGCTTAGCCTGGTAATGGAAAAACAACACTTCACAAGCTTAACTGAAGATCAGCTGCTGAAAATGTCTAACACAGTCTTTAACATTACTAATTTTTATGTTTGGTTTCTGAACAGAAAGTTTCTGTAAACATCCTGCCCTCACAAATAACATACCTAAGAGAAGCTTTGGAAGAGAACAAATGAATTTACAATGGCAGGCAGACATTAATGATAACCCAAGTTAATTGCTAATGTAGCAATTCAGCATAACTGAATAGGAAATCCTTTTTCAGCACTGCAACTTCAATAAGCAATGACACAAATTAACAATGCAAATGACAACTAAAATTCATGCATGAAAAGGTGCTAATAAAATGGAAAATATTTCTTCACGTGCATTACTAAAAGAATCAGAATAGCTCACCCAATTGTAAGCCATTAAAATTCAGTACTAACTTAGATCATATTTTGTATTTACATGCATCTTTCATTTAAGCATCTTAAAAATCTAAAAATGATATCTTAGGTCTGAGTGTTGAAGAATGTTCAATACACAGATGGAAAAACTGATGTAAGGTAACTTGTGCAAAGGTAAGAATTAATTATAATGTTTCAGGTTGGATTTCTGTTGTTAAAAAAACACCTAGAAACAATCTGACCTGCTTGAAAACAGGTACTCTATTATTCAGAGATAATGGAAAATTTTCAGAAAAAATATCTTGCATAAACAGAAATAAATGCACTTGTATTGGCACAACAATTAATCAAAATTGTCCAAAATTAATACCACACTAATTCATAGTTATTTTATTGAAAATGCTTCAATAAGGTTAGGAAGAAGACAGTGTTGTACAGAAGGCTGAAAACCCATTATTTGAGAATACACAACCCTAGGCTAAAGACTGATTGGAATGAAAATTTGAATTTTTGTAGGAAAAAAAGGCAGTTTTATTCTCTGTTGCCTATCAGGCATTACATTTTATAATAACTAATGTCATAAATACTGAAGTTTTCTCAAAAATGATAATGTGTACAACAGTATAACCATTTAAATTATCTGTGACTTAAAAAAAAACAAACAACAACCCCCCCCCCAAAACAAACCCCCCAAAACAACATAAGTATTTTCCAAATTTATACAGTCTCCACTAGCATATTCTTTTGCTAAGACATTTTCAGTGGTACCCAAAATGGCTATCTACAAGAATTTGAAGAAATGATACATGAATTAATAAAATAGAGATTTCCGTAATATTTCATACAAATTAATATTTTCATTCAATTAGCACCCAAGGGATTCCAACAGAATTAGAGTTATGATAGCAAAACAAGATCAATAGCCCACAACTGAGAATACACATTCTTTTCATACGATTGTGCATATACGATTTCACTATTTTTATGCCATTATCTTCAGCCTTAGTAGAAGTAATAGCATAGAACCAATGTGACATTATCATGCATTTTTTGAGTTAGTTTAATTTCTTTTTTTTTCTTCTCTTTTTTTCTTTTTTTTTTTTTTAAAAATTTCAGACCATACAGTTATGAAAACAGCAATTAAAATATCTTCACATAAATCAGGCTGAAATTCAGCCAGATTGAACATTAATTTACAGTTATATCCACCTGAACAAGTGGCATCATTCAAAAGGAATAGATTTGTAATGGAAAGAGGTGGTGCTCAGGACCTCAGATCCATACTACATGTCTTTCAGGGGCTTTGGTCCAGATTAGCTCCCATGGACTGAAGTTGATGAGGTAGGTAGATCAGGTACATTCCTGGAGAAGTTTATTTTCATCCAAAAAGGAATCCCATTTGCACGCTCCAAGACCACCTCATGATGTGAGCCGAAGTATGGTAAGGGACAATGATCACAAGTGCACTACTGCCCTGAACTAACATACTAACATAGATATATTTTATGATTTATGTAAGGGACTACACCTGACCTCAGTATCTTTCAAATGCCATAGGTTTCTAATAGTAATTTTCATTTTTTTGAAAAACGTTATTTTCCCCATGTTTCACTATTACACAACAAGAATAATAGTGAAGTTTTATAAGTAGTTGTGCTAATATCTACACAAAGAAATTACCTGGAGACCTTTTTCACCTAATTTCTCAGTGCTTTACTTCTGACTGTTCTGTAACATTTACCCTTTTGTTTAAGGAATGTGAATTTGAAGTCCATGATTAACCTTCTTCCCTGCCACAGTAATTTCTTACCTCCGTGATTTTCGTATTGTCTCCTGTATCAGTCACCTTTACTGGAGTTGAACGTTGAGAAACAGCACCTTCGTCTTCTTTGTCTGTCCCAGAATCATCTTCAGAACTACTTGATACTGCTTCCTCACTTGGGGGTGGAGGAGCACTAGCAGCCGTTTTACGCTGCAGCACAGTTTCTTCTCTATTACTTTTGTTCCTATTATGAAAGGCAGTGTGTATTTATTAAATCAGCAAGATATTAACAACAAGTATTCAAAGTTCCTAATTTTAGTTACAATCTTACTGGAGAAAATGAATTCTATCCTCTGGAACAACTTGCTGCTCATCTTTTGAAACCCCCAATTGATTTACTTTTCTTCAATCTCTTCTTATTCCACAGCATTTAAGAGAGCTCAAAAGATTATGTCAGCTTTTCTCCACCAATGCTCTGATTCTTTACTTAAATCCCTCTCTCAGACTGAATGAATAAAAAGGAATAAATATTCATTGAGACATAACATTTTTGGTTTTGATCTGAAAAAAGGTGTCTCTCACTTTGCGATTAACAACATTATCCACTCCACTAGGTTTCTTATCTTGGGCCCAAAAACCTAAATCATAATGTCGCTTTTTTCCTTCCTTTTCCATACCTCTCCCCTCAATTTAGTTTTTTATTCAGTAACATTTCTTCATGCAGCATGTATTTCTTACTCTAGAAATTCTAGTCAATATAAAGAGGTTGCCTTCTTTGTAAGAACTCTTCTAGATACAGCATCTATATTTTAGTAGGCTAACACTGAGTTTAACCGTACAAGCTCTGAAAGGTATATGTCACTGTACACATCAGAAATTGTACCACCCTTTCATCTGCTACATCCTTTCCTACTGGCCATAGAAGGGTACTTGGTTGCACATCCCTTTCAGACACTGTCACAATCTTTCAGGGACTCTGGTGGAAGAGAGACTGGAAGGCAGGTAATGAATATGTTTCCCTTTCTGGAAAAAGGGAAGCAACACCTCTTCTGTGCTGAGGTGACTGTCCATATATACACAGACATTGTGTGTGACTTACCCTAAAGGAAGAGCACAGCATGCTAAGAGGCTTTGAAAACAGCATGCAGTTTGGTGCAAATGCTATTTTGAGTTGCAGCTCTGGTGTTCTCATCAGCCAGGGCACAGAGGTCACCACTATCACTTGAGGTCTAGCAAAGCACACCATGACTGTCACAGAGTTCTGCCTTTTGCAGTCAAACTCATATAGCAGTGTAGTGAACTAGCTAAACTTTATATGCTTTAGAAACACATATAAATGAATAGGAGAGTCCTCGCAAAGGTTCTTGATCTGAGAGCGTATCCCACCCCCAAGGACATTAATATATAAGAAGAATTCTTACACCTAGAAAAAATGCCTTTGGGGAAAAAAACACCACAGGTAAGTTTTAATTTCTGACTCGGCAAAACCTGACTCAGACTGAAATTTAGAGAAAGTTATGAAGACATACCACACTCTTTTCAGAGAAGATTAAGGTTATCTTCCCTACTTTTCTAAATGAGGTGAAGGTCATAAGAAAAGCAGCCCCTTCTGAAAGCTGAAGAATGAAGCAAGTAGCCAAACACTGGTGATATCCCCACCCACCCCAACACATACTCAGAAGGTGGCCAAGATCTAATTGTCCTAAGGGATCAGAACACTTACAGATGAAAACAGATCACCAAATCCTCCAGCAATGTCACAGTAGATCAAAAGATGATGAGGAATGTGCAAGGCAAAGAAATCACCTCTACCAAGGGCTAAATATGGTAAGGCGGAAGATTGAAGCCACCTTTTACCCTGCTACGCAGAAATCCATGGGAAGCCTTATGAGCAATACCCACGGGGTCCTGGAATGTGGCTTTGATCCAGCTGATTCTTTATCTTGTAAAAACCCCTAAAAATTACAGCAGAGAGCCTAAGCAATGTATAATGGTCAAGTACTTAAGTACTTAATAGAATATCTGGAGAGAAATTAATTAGTCCAAAATCTGACATCATACTAAAGTGGAAGAATAAAGCTTATCCTCAAAAGTACCCGTAAACTCACAATTCCTAGCAGAGGTCAATTGTATAATGGTTGAACAGTCTTTCTGCTTATTCCCAGGGAACATCAGTAGCATGAAATCAGGCTCTAGTAGCGATAAGCATAGTTTACCTCACAATTTATTGACAATGAGTCCCTCAGGGTCAAGGCATAATGGACGTTATTTATGAGACAGTGAAATTCTGTAGATTTTAACAGAACGGCAAGCTTTCAAAAGAACTTAACAATGTTGTGAAAGCACATGTTTTGTCATTACTGACAAAAGGTTTCCTTAATACGAGGTATCAAAGACAGAATGAACTGTTTCAGGAAGAGTCCTCATAGCCCTTGTGTGAAACAGCGTATTCACCCAACAGTGGAATAAATTAATAAAGCAAGCCCAGGATGCAAAAGCAGCTAAATGAAACATACATTTGTCCCAATAACTGTTGCTGAATTTTATCTATATATATTTTTACTAACATTTTTATCAAAAACTATGCTGAAATTAGCATTTATTGCTGTTTGAGTATAAGTTCTATTTATTTAAAATTTATACTTTTTTTAAAAAAAGACTAGAATAATATATGCATCTCTAATAGAGAATAGAGTTGCAACTAGTATGAAGAGATGATAAAATTTTAACAACTTCTGTATCTTTATTCTTGATAAAATTTTCTCATGGGTTTCACTTAAAGGAGTACAAGAAAATAGAAAAGATTAAAAAAGTCTGAATAAAGAATTCCCAGTGTCAAATAAAAGTCTCAAATTAGATATGATTTTCAAAGTGTAAAATTCTACAGTGTAACACCAATGATTTGTTTTTGTACTTCCCATGTAACAAAGAATATGCTACACACACACATGGGTTTACATATTTGCATTGCAATTTCACTACTATTAAACCAGAACAAAATCTCATATTTCACACTTACCCCAACACCGATTTTCCAGTTTCATCAGGTTTACGAACAGTAAATGGACTTGGATCAATCCCCACATTCTTAGGCATAAAATCTCTGGCAAAATAGAAAGGAAAAACTGTTCATTAGCGAAGTTCAACACACAGAAATTTTAAATTGTCTGGAAGAACTACCTCTACTATTGACCTATGAATTAAAAAAAAAATCATTATAAAAGAAATACCAAGTTCTAACTTCATCATTACAAGTTAAAGACATGTAAACATAGAAACCCTAGGTATTTAAAAAGATTTCAATTGCATTATTTAGTCCATGAAGCAGCTGCAAACATCACCACTTGCCAAGGAGGCTAGAGCAATGTGCTCCATTCCTGTGATGAAGCAGCCCTGTAACTCGGCCACAATGTTTTCAAAATGCTGCCAACACTCAAATTGGGTCAAAAAGCTACATGGACCATAATCTGCCTGGAAGTCTCTAGTCAAAGCGTGAGTGAGATTATGCTTAGAATATCCAGCTGATTGCTGCCAACAAACAACACTATCTGGCCAGCTGTGAGAACCTGATGAACTGAAGAAAACAATTGTAAAATGAAAGTAGAACAACTAGAAAACAATTGCTTTGAAGGTAGCCTCTGCGATCTGAGTCCACAGAGAAAAGCTCTTTTCGCAGCCTTCAAGCGCCCTGACGTTTGGCACCCAATAAAGGAAAATAATTGGAAATTTAAGTGCTATCTTAACAGATTTTTTTTAAAGCAGCATTTCCATTTCCGTATTGTTATTCAGTTTCTAGAAGATTGCTAAATTTGAAGCTTAAAAAAACAACAACCAAACAGCCCACAAAACCTATCGTGTTACACAAATTTAAGCAAATAAATCAAATGTACATTTAATTCACACCAAATCAACTTCCAGTTACAGATTTATAGGCACAAAATATCCCAATATACCGTGTGGAATTGGTCATTGCCAAGCAGAAGGTCTCATCAAAACTGCTCAACTCATATGGCCGAAAAAATTCATTGTGGATATCAATTTCCTCCTCATACTTGTGGAACTTCTTCACTGTCAACTTGCGTCTGTTTTCAGCACATGCCACTGGGGAAAAGAAAAACAACAAACCTTTTTTACTAACAATTACTGACTCGGCAAAAATCTAAACAAGCAGTAACCTGCTTACCTAGCCACCCTACTGAGCATTTTTCTACAGCCATATTCCCTCTAAGACAAGAAAATATGACATTAAGACGATGCACAGCACATCTTTAGCGAATATGCATTAGCAACCACCATAATTTGATTACCCTTCATGACAACAATTCCTACTCCAGAGAAATAAGACACGCTAGCTATACACTGTCATCTGCAACGGGACTGTAACCACCAGTGTAGATTATAAATATATGTTAATAGGCAAGGGAAAAAAAATAAAATTATGTGTGCCCTGGCACATACACATGTAGAGGTCAAGTTTTACTCAATTAGGTATCTCTTGCATCCTGCAGCTGAAAAATCATAGCTCATGCTGGGTGAAAAAAAAATAATATTTTTTTAACAATCATTATGGAAGCTTTTTTCTTTCAGATTTGGGATCTAAAACAGTTAAAAAGCATTTGTGATTAAAACTTCTTTCTCAAGATAGTCTGTAAGTAAGGAGCAAATATAGTTCCTACCTTCATCAAAAGGAAGAGGTAAATGCTTTAGCACACCTGTGGTCCACCAGTATGTATAGCTGTGCAGGAAAAACAGACACGAAATTGATACAGAAGATTTGATCTTGTATCCGGCCTAAATGTTTGCACAAAACAGTTACCCAACCATACAGTGTCACTTTAGTAAAAATTTCTGTGTAATTCAGATGTGGAAGAAAGCAAAGAATTATCCTTGGATGGAGGATTTCAGCCAGTCCCTATCCTATTACTTTGCTCTGAGGCCATGAAATTTAAACACATGAAGCTCAATACAGGTATGGAGGGAGGAGTAGCTTAGCACCATTAAACAAAATACATTCCAGGTGCTTATCTCTACAATACTGAAAATTAAGGTCTTAGTACATATAGAAGGCATTTATCTGTTTCTCTTGTTCTGGTCTTTTTTTTTTTTAAAAAAAAAAAAAAAAAAAAAGCATCATCCCTCATCCCACCCACCACTTCTTAGTCAGAACCTAAAATTTAGGAAAAGGGTATGAAGAAATGAAGGTCAATGACAATAAAATCAGAAGATTGTCAAAGCAGCTGACTTCTACACATAGAAATACATTTTGATGTGACAGCTGTCCTAAGCATGAGAAGGGTATGTTGGCATAGCTAACAGCAAAACCCAGGCCCTGCTGGTAGCTTATTCAGGATTTCTGAAAAACAATAAAGGAAGTCAAGCAACATTCATAAAATCAAGCATGGTTTATCTGTCATTCATGTTTACATATTTTTATTTTCTCTTCTCAAATATACTTCAATTTCTTCTCTAAATTATTCTGATAGTTTCTTCTATTTCATTACTTGGGCTGAAAAGACATTTATCTTTGTTGATTTTTATTTAAATATCTGTGTATTCACAGTACTGTAAGGGCTGTATATCAGAGTATTAATGTGGTTATCTCCTACTCATGTCAATGTAGCCATCTGGAGCAGAAACAATGGATCTATTCCCATGCCCAGAGATAACACTTGATAGTGAGACCTAGCAAACAGTGCAGAACAGGCAGGGCACCACACTTCAATTCCAAGAGCTGTGTATGTCCTACACAGAAAGGAATGAGTTATGCCTGACAGTCCTGTCTCTTCTTGAAGTACTGTATCAGGTCATGCTAGCAAGCCATTTTCTCCAGTGCCTTCAGAAACTATGCAGACAGACCCAGTTTTGCTGCTTGCATAAATGATGAGTAACGTGGCAACAGAAAGTCTCCTTTTCCATAGTCACTGTGCTTTCATGTGAATCACAAATTATATAAAAGTAATATATGAAACTCATTATGAAATCTCTTCTTTCTGATGGAGAGGCAAATACAACATAGGAAAAGCACAGATAATCAAAAGAAGTTTCAATGACAGGAAATATCATCTTCCTCCTCTTCCTATATCCTTGATTTCAGTATAAGCTTCATTATTTCCTTTACTGCTGTGCCCAAGGAATCCAAAAGAGGCACTGTACAGAGAGGCAGGAAGAAGTTATACAAAGAACTTGTCCAATAGTTTGGTAGAAACAAAAAACTACTTGGAAGACCTTTTTTCACCTAACTACTTATTACATGGAGGTGTCGTTTTGTTCACATGAGAAAACATCTTGGATGTATATTATATGTGCCCAGAAGAAATTCTGGGCAAAATTAAAGGTAAAACTAATTAACAAGCAAATGAAGAACATTAACTTTTTTTTTTTTTTTAAATATTCCACCTCATTTGAGAACAGTATCTGTGACAAATAATTTTTGTTTAACAGAGTAACAGATGAAAGGGAGACTAGGACATCCGTATATTTGTGATGCATTAGCTGAATTCATTGTTGGTATACAATAATGTTCAGAACCAGTAGGCAATAAAATTAATATTGCATGTTTCATGCGTGCCTGAAATAGCACTTGGTTGTACAGCTGACATGAGCTAGCATCAAGAGAATCTTCAGCAAACAGAAAAGGATTAACATTTTAAAAACAGTCATGTCACATGCCAGCTGCCACAATGGGTTAATGGAATAAGCAGCCAACAAGGATTGAACACACTGTTTAAACACTCACAGTTTTCCCCAGACGAAACCCTAAATGCAGACATTCAGATCTACCATTTGCGATACAGAGCTTTAAGACTCACAGAATGAACAAAGATACTAACAGTGACATTCCTAAAAGATGTGATTTAGTTAACGAGTCTAGTACTGTCTTTGTACTTGTATAATTATATTGTAGATGGGTCTCTGGATGAGGGAGCAGCTTGTGGGAGTTACACAGCCAAGGCAGGAACCCAGGATGTTTTCCTGGCCCAGCGCCACTTTGGTATTAACAGCTTGGAGAACAACTGGCTCAAAATGCACTTTTGGTTTTACTGTGCCACCCTATCACCAGGCTTTCAGAGGACTGTGGGAGTAGCAGATTCTAATTACAACTGGTTTTATGGTCCTGAGAGCCAACTGGTTTTCTCGGATAAGTTTATCCTGAAGAATGGAGCTGGCAACTGGCTGGCACAACAGATTAGAAAACGCAGACCCAAGGACAGGTTACAAAGTACAAAATCCTAATATGAATTTATTTTATTTTATTTTACACATAGTTTTCATAATCCTTAACATAATCATTCCACATTGCGAAGCACTCTAAAATTACTTTAAAATTTTTATGCTTTAGCTCTATTACTTCTGTATATTACTGTGGAACTACAATGGAATGCAAATGAAGAAAACGGTCTTCAAAATAGGCTAGACCTGGCTGAAAGAAAGGCAGAAATTCATGGGCTTCTTGGTATGCACAGCTGCAGACTAAGTGCATTACACACAAAAAAAATCAAACAAATGTTATCCTCATCACCTAATCTCAAATCCAACAATGATTAATAAATCTGACCATCAAAAACACACCTGTATACTGCTTAATGAGACAGTGGTAACTACTTCAGTAAAACAGTAAAGCATTTCACACTGCAGGACAGAATTTCATATGAAATGAAACTTCTTTTTTCAGTACAACAGGAAAATAACATTCTAAAGCAAATCCTTCGAAATACCAACATTCAACATTTTGGGTAATCTCTTGAAGATTTTTTTTCAAAGTTTTTGTAAAAACTTAAAAAACAGTAAGCAAGTTTTTGACAGGCTGAGAGAATTATTTAACATGTATTTTAAAAATTTATTAGAGCAATATCAAACAAAAAAACAGAGCAGCAAAATACCTTCGCCTGGTCTGTGACAGACTGAGGGTGTTCTTGTGATGCAAATAAAAATCAGTGGGAAGCTCCCAGAGATGAGGTTTTCCTTCTGTAGGCTTGAATACTCCCAGAAAAAGATTGATAGAATCTTGTCTGTCTGCATCTGTTAGACAAGAGGTACATTCAACACCAGCAACATTGCAGATCTCAGTCCCATTCAGACATTTACTTGTTTGTTATGTTCCCTCCTCACAGACAGTGTGCATGTCCTACAACTTCTACGGGGACCTCTGGGCTTCAACCAGCCTAATGAAACTTCACCTAGACCTGACCTCCTGCCACACCACAGTGCACGTGGGACTGGTACCAGCACTCCCTCTTTCCTTGGCTTCTCTCACAGGAGCCAAGACAGAAGCGCTGCTTAGAGGCTTTGCAGAAGTAAGACCTCATGCTGCAGCTCCGTCTCCCACCTCTACATATATGTGTATGCATGAAGTATGTGCATGTATTTATGCATATTTCAGGGAACCTGACACGTCATGATGAATTTACTGCAGTCTAAATAACAGAATAATGATTTAATGAAATGAAACAGTAGCCATACAATACACAGTTTTCCCACATAACACACAAATTCTGAATTCTTCGAGTTTTTCTAGCCAAAACACTGTCAGTAAAATGACTAATCTTCACAAACACCTTTTAATAACTTGGACTTCTTTTCCTGTTGGTTTAAATCATCAATTTCTCTTGCCATATTCTAAGTTTTGCCAAACTAAATGAGGCAAGTGCTAGAATCCAGTAGTTACACGCCACTGTAGATGAAGCATGACAAGAAACACTGTTCACTCACATCTTTAAAATCTCTCTTGCTACCTAGCTGGAGATAGGATGATTTACAACAGATATGAAGAAAAGCTGGACTGGGATGAGGGTGTGGGGATGGTGAACTGTGACAAAGACAGCTTTGCAAGCAGAGTCATAGGGGCAAAGGAAGGCTTACATGCAAAGGATCTTCAGATATGGGAGAATATGTAGAGAACGGAGCTCTGTGTGTGCCCTGAGGAATTAGCATATGGAAAGCTCTCATCACCACTTGTCTGCACTTCAGTAATCATCAGACAAGCAATAGTTCAGACCAGTTCAATAGATAGTGTAACTCCTTCAGTTCTCTCCACATTTCAGCAAGAGTATTATGAGAGCTGAGTGTCCCTTGAGCAATCACACTGCACCAAAAAGACAAACTGAAGTCTCAGTATACCAGAAAGCAGGTAAATAGGTAGAATCCACCAAGTGGTGGTATGACAGCAAGGACAAAGTTGGTTCCTGGCCACCACCAAAGTTTTAGTCAATAGCTCCTTCTCCCCAGAATTCAAACGTCTCTTCTCTCTGTGCAACATATAGTATTTTTCACAGGGAGTTAAGACACACAAGCAGCTGACAAATGAAGCACTATGTAGAAATTTGGTGACAATAGGATTATAGAAAAGTATTGTATTTTACAGAAGTGTGCATATGTGGAGGTCAATATTTGGAAGTGGGATCTTCAGTATACAGTCACATGGCGTAGCAGCACAAGGCACCAGGAAAAGGAAAAGAAAGGGGAAACCTCTTGATGTTGCTTGGCTCCCCTTCCCTATCAGATGGGCTTTTGATCTGGAATCCAGCTTTTTCCTTCCTTTTCTGTCCACCCATACTCCCTTCAGATACTTTTACTGTCCCTTCAGAGCACTCTTCCAAAATTATACTTATTTTACCTTCTTTCTCACTCCTCACCTTCCCAATTTTCTTAAGAGGATCAACTTATAAACATTAACTCTTCTACACAGTAATACTCAAAAGCATATGTAGGTCCTTATGGTTTGCAGGCAATACTGTTTCTGCAAAATAGTGTCACAGTTTAACCAAGACATACGGAGAGAATAAGGAAGGCCAGGAACAGCGCAAGAAAGCTAAACAAAACTCAGTAAAAAGGTCTGGAAAAAAATAAACAAAAAAAACCCCTTGTTCAGGATACTGAGAATTAAAAAGAAAGGAAAAGTTACAAGCAGTACATGTATTCTTTCTTTGCAATAAATTATTTAGTTAGTGGTTTAAAGAAAGGGCTGAACAAAACACAAGCAAGCTCTCTACATTTAAATATAGAAACTGGAGGAGTCCTAATGACAAAATTAATTTAACATGAGCGAATAGGTGGTAATTTCTGAAAGCTAAATGAAAAGATGAGCCTCCTTTGTCATTTACCATTATTTTACCTGCCAGGAACAGAAGGTATACTGAAATTGTTAAATAAATAATCGCACAACAAACAAGGTAATTCAGTTAACAAACTATGTCACTACTTACATGACAGATGCTAAAATGAAAAAAAAAAACCTAAATGAAATTTGTTCTGTGAACAGCTTGAATTTAAACTCATACCAACTGAATTAACCAATTCATTGTCTGAAATGGTCTATAGCAGCAGTTCATTAAAGCATTCTTACCTTTCTTCCATAGCAAAAAAATGACTGCTGTTAAATGCTTCATTGCAAAAGGACACAAACTCTCTTTTGCATTTATTGTTTCAGCTGTGCAGTTGTGCTTATACAGGACATTTATCAGAAAATGTCTTTCTACTGTCTTACTTCTCAACTCTTAACTTAAAAGTAGGTAAAAACGCATAACATTAAAGATTCTTTATGCATTAGTCTTTGAGCAGGCACAAACATACATGTGACAGGGGAAGCAGATAGTTAACTTTAAAGGTGACAATCCTCCCCCCGCCTTACTTTAAGGGTTGAACAATTTTATGATTTAATTTTGAACAAAAATAATGAAAGCTTTTGTCTTTCTTTGAATCACTGTGCAGAGAAAACAAGATATTGAGCTTTTCAGATCAATTTTCTTGTCTAGTTAGAAAAATATCTCTTTTCAAAAATAAATAAATAAGAATGTCTCAATGCACTGTGGAGCACAGACAAAAGAGCAAACAGGTTTTCTCCCTTTATTGTTAGCACCGAATGTTATAATTATGTACAAGCAAGCAGAAAGATTGCACTGATTTTTGAAAAGATACTGCAATGTACGTGTATACTACCACATTTTTAAGACCATTTGCGAAAACAGTAACTGAAGGGGCCATTTAATTGAATTAGCCTAAAATAATCTACTGCTCTCAATCTGTTTGCAACTGCACTACATGACAAATCACTAAATCATGAGAGATTCAACATAACTGGGACTGTAACGTCCCATGACTAAAAGGTTACAGTAATTAAGTTTACCTTCATACAACACTATAAGGTAGTTTACTATGTTCAGTCCTGTTTGTGGATAAATAGATTATTCCAGATTCCAGAAGCTTATTACGCATGTTGCAACTCTGACACTGAAGCCTGCAATGTCCCATTACTTTCTAAAAGGCATAAAAGCTCGAAGAATATAATTTGGAATACTATTTCCTAATTTCTCTGACAATCATAAATGAAAGAAAAATGTTAGAATTCAACTAATCGGAATGCCTGCCAGAAAGGGTGTTGAAGGAACATCTAGTTCTTAGCTGGATGATGTTCTTTTACTGGTACAACTCATCTGCTTGCAACCAGAGTACTTCAAATAGTTGACTTCCCAAACTACACTGCATCCTCTACTTTGTTCAAATGCTAGAATTAAAAACATGCATGAAAAAAAAGTCAGAATTTTTGCCTAAATCTGTAAGATCTTTTCAAGTTACCATAAAATTAATTGTCCCATATTTTTAAAAGGAAACCTTGGTTTTCTTCTAGGCTTTAGTCACTAACTCGATCCTGAAAACATTTTTTTAATTCTTCACTACTCTATTATAGAGGCAACATATTACAAATTTATAGGTACAGAAGATCTATAGAAAAGCTAAGCCACATATCATGAACTAGGGTGAAACTGTATTTGAAGTTACCTTTCTCACAAGTCCAAGTTATCTACTGGATTAGTATCTCCAGGCAAGTCACTTATCTGATACCTGTCTGCTGTACAATTTAATTAGTAGTGATTATCCTAAGGGCTTTGAGGTCAAGAGATGAAACCATTTTTCTTAAAAGTGTGAATTATTTTTAGAATCACGTATTTTTTTTACAATAGACAAACAGAACAAGTGAGGCTAAGTGATTTATTTAGGAGGCGCTATTAGCAGGCCACTTGTAACCTTGTTCTGAGTCTCATATACCGTACAACTTCAGGCAAATCAGTAATTTTTCTGAGTCTGTTTACTACTGGTACATAAAATTCATAAGCATGAAAAAAAAAAAGTTTCTCAGATCAGAAACACAAGGAAACGCTGGCTCATGAACTTGCTAGCCCTCAGATTTTTCTTTGTATTTTGAAGGACATGTGATGGATAGTAACAATAGTAAGTGCAGTACAGCAAATCAGAATCTTGTTCTACAAGTGCTAGTGCTTCCTTTATTTCTGCTTTCTGGGAAAACTTCAAGAATAAAGTGATTTCTCTGAATGTGTCACATTAAGAGGCTTCCAGATGCCACCTGAACAGGCAGTGTTGGGCACTGAACCTTTAAATCTCACTGAAATGAATCTTTTAAAATTTCATACCAAAAATGCCATAAATACAACATTGAATGCTGTGTTTCAACAATGCCATCTTCGAACACAAGGAATGCATAAAGCACCAAAAATATTTGGCTCAAATGGGATCAAATACCAAAACCGTAAGTAAACTGGGGAAAGTGTGCAGCACCTTTATGAAAGTTCCATTCTTCATATTGACTTCAGTAGACTAACATCTTTTTGTGTAGTTGGCTACAAGTTCACCCAGGTGACAAGAGGGACTTCTTTTCATTCTGTGTTCTTTCTTCTTTTTGTAACATTTTTTTCAGGACAAATTCTTTTATTACTAAAGCACATGCATATCGTGACTATCCTTGCAAGCAGACCACAAACCAAACCTGTATTTAGAACTTTGCTCAAGATTCCATCTAACTATTTAAGTGGTTGGCATAAAAATGGAGTCATACCTTATTGCCACTGCAAACACCAAGAGATCATATCACTGAAATAAACATGCTCTCCATTTCTCATTTAATTTGGGCAAATATACACAAATTACATGAATTACATTCAGAAACAGTACTTTAAATGCTGTGCTCTCGCGTTTTGTTACACACACAGAATTGCCACCAAAGAAACCCGAGATTACTGAAGTATTTCTAGGCAGTACCCAACTTACTGTTCTAAAGCTCACATAATTTCTAAACAATTGCAGTCTACTAGGAAAAAAAAAAAAGCTACTTCCTTCCCTGGCTATGCAGCTTTTGTGAAAAAGAGTAACAGAGAAATGACACAGTATTTAGAACACTGCAGCACTCAATGTTTGTCCTCCTGACATGTTTTAGACTGCTTTTTTTGAAGTCCCCAGAAACATCACAAGAAATACTCCACCTGAAGCCTTCTACTTGTGTTTAGATTTAGATTTATCATTTATTGAAGCCATTCTCTCCACCATTTTTACAGCTCTAACAGCTACCTGCTTCCCTGTTGATCTACAAACGTCACTGGCAGTTTCAGTGCTACGTGTGTACATTTTCTAAATACTTCTCACATCAGTTCAATAACCTTTATCAAGTAAGGATGGATGCTACAACATGCATTTGCACAGGATATAAATACTTCATCAAATCAGAAAATCCATTTGATATCTAGCAGATTTTACTGAATTATTTGGAAATTTTAGTACAGAGGATCTGTCATAAGATCATAGTCTGAATTAAAACATCACAAATAAGAGGTTTTTTAAATAATGGCTTAAAAGAAAACACTTAAAATTAAAATTTACCTGAGAAAGCATTGCTATAATATCTTGAGAGTGTTTGCATAATATCTTTGGAATGCTGAGTCCATGGAGCTATCTTTCTATAGGTTTTTACTCTGTGGACAAGCTGAGAACCTCCGTATTGCAGAGAAAGTGTATCTCCATGATCTTCATATAATTCTTCAAATAATCTGAAGGAAAAGCAAAATGTGTCACCTATCAAACTGCTGAAAAGAGCTTTTGAAAAGAAAAGATAATAAAGTATTGTAATAATAAAGTCTTTCTGTTTAACAAGCAATACATTTTCTTCTAACAGTTTACAAAAACAAGTATTTCATTAAAACATACTAATAACTTAAAACCACTGAAATTTAAAGTGTCTCTATTCTTTATTCAGACAAATATGTGGAAGTTTTATTCAGATATAATAATTACTAAGATGGATTAGACTGTAAGATTTTCACTAATTTATAATATTTCAGAATGCATTCACACTACAGCATGTGCACTTCTGTAGATTCAGGGAGATTAACACACCCTACTGGTCTGCAGGGAGAAAACAAACCATACACCTTCACAAACTAAGGTATTTTAAATACACTAAATGGGACAGAACAAGTCAATATCTCAAGGCTATGTTTTCTGTAAAGTCCACTGGGAATGAAGTTAGCATAACTTTCTAAAAATCTCCCTAGTTACCATAATGATGGCACAAAGCTACAAACCGAATAAACATGACTTGTAAGAAATCTGAATGGCAGTCAGATACCACTTGATGGAGCTGGAAAAACACAATGTATGAAGGTGGCAGAAAGAGTTGGCTGCTAAGACGAACAAGGAGAGCTGGCTAAAAGCAACACAGTCCTCTGGTGTCAAGAAGTTGACAGCAGACTCCAAATTGAGAGCAGTCAAATAGCAAAAATTATCAAGAAGCTCCCCGTCAATGACAAAATCAAGACAAAAGACTCAGAAAACAAGGCTATCCTAAGGAGATGACACCCAGTCTACAAGATAACAGATTGAACAATGCTTCTCAGAAATGGAGACTATTGCCTTGCTTGAGCAAGACAATGACAAGGATGACATCTCGGTAAAAGAGGCTGAAAGTTTAGTTAAGAGGCAAAAAAATCAAAACAGAACAACACCAACCACCAAACCTGTGGAATCATATTTCACATCAGTTTAGCAAGACACAGTAACTCAGGCATCTGCATGTGATACACTGTAGTATCTGAGAAGATGAAAGTTCTTAAATCAAAAGGAGGGCAGAAACAAACAAAACAACAGCAACCCCCCCCAACAAACAACGAAACAAAACAAACAAAAGCAAACAACAAAAGCATTCCCTTCAGAAAGTTTCCAACAAAGGGAAGTACTGCATAAGTAATCCAGTAACCATCTGACTGAAGTCCTCCTCAAAAGGTTCTGCATGAAGAACACTTACCTGAGCATCAAATCAATTTCTGTAAAAACATAATACCTGTCCAGCAAATCTTCCGCCCAAGACCAATTAGGAGGAAACATCTGGTTATTAACTTATTAAAAAAACCCAAACAACAAAACAACCAACAAAAGAAACAAACCAAAACCCATTTGCTTCCTCACAAATTGCTCAGAGCTCGTGATATCATGTATGAGAAACTCCTGTGTGTTTCTTCGGGTATGGTGGGTTGGGTTGGTTTGGTTTGGTTTTGGGGGGTTTATTGTTTTTTTATACAAGGGGAAAGACAGCAATGCTGGTCAACTAAAAGCTAAAAAACTGATCGAAGGCAAAACCAGCAGGTAGAAGGATGATACCTCTCAAAAATTTCCCAGTCAGACATTGGGGATTGATGTACAGAGTTGCAATGACCTTGCAATAAAGGTTCACAGAAAGCAGATTTAACTTTAAATTCATTAAGGACGTTGATCCATTTGATTTGGAAAGGACTTGTAGAATTAAATTACCCTTCCACAGCCTCAAAATATTAAGCCTGCAGTCCAACAAAGACTAGTCTTCCTAAGAGATGAAAGTTAACTACATATGATAAAATAAGCTGCTAAGGTACACTTTGTCTAGGAAACTTGCTAGGTAGGACAAAAATTACACTGAAGGAATCACTAAGAAATATAGCTTGCAGAAATGGCCCTCTGCAACAAAGTTATTAAGAAGATTAATAACACAAAATTGGACTGTTCAAGATGCATCATTTCTTTATCCTTCAGGATGGCCAACTGAAATAAAATGCTGACTTGAGAAATGCAGTTCAACAGAAGTTCTGGATTGTAGCCAGCGAGTGAGACCATATGAGAAAAATCAGAATTATAGGGACAGTCAAAGAGTGTGATGAAAAAATGTTAGTTTTTCAGACACATTAGCTAAATTAAGGAAGACAGACTGCTACAGGTTACCCCCTTCGGCCAGTTAGAAGAGTGTAAATGAAGAGGCAGAGTGCACAGAAAGCAGATACTTGATGTCAGACAACACAGGGAACAAGAATGCAGGAGGCCAAAGTGAAAGACTGCACAACAGAGACAGTGTAGCACATGCCTGTTGCACTATGAAGCAGGATTTTTTAATTATTCTGAGCACAGTAATTCAGATACAAGTCTTAACAGATGACAAAATCGGTTTCAGACAGGCATACATCTAGTGCAATAGAGAAGAAAAAAAATAAGTCAAATGTGGCCTTTTGTAACTTTTTATGCCAGACTAACAGCTACATTTTAGAGAGATAATGAGAAATAAGGTGTCAGGAAAATCAGAGACAAAGCAACTACTAGAATCTTAAAAGATGACGGTAAGAGATGGAAATTTGGGTGGCTGGGGCAGAGAGCAAACAGCAGGGAGAGAAGACAGACAGGAAACCTGGGATTATTGCAGCAGGAGCAACAGAGGAAATTCGGGCTCCCAAAATAGGGGCAGGAAGGGGGGAAGGTAGTGAAGCCTAAGGAAAGATAGTAAAACGCAGCCTGAGCTGAAGTGGTAGCTGTAGAGGATACCACAGAGAGTGAGTAAGAGACCTGTCCACCTCCTGATCCCCGCTAGTTAGAATCCAAGAGTCCCGAGGAAGTCAGCCTGTGGATGCTCTCCCTGGCCATCAGGCAGGGGCCAGGAGCCACCGCTTGCACAGTGAGCCACCGCTTGCACAGCGAGCCAAAGTGCTGCAAGTGAGGTTGTTTCTGTGGCACATATCAGCTCCTGGCACCAGGCAAGTGCTGGAAGACCAAGTACTTTGTCTTTTCTGAAATAAGAGTTACGCCTCCATTTCTAAAACTATCAAACCACTAATCAAAACCAGCAATGAAGCCATAAGTTTCACAGTCATGACAACAGCTTTAAGGAACAAAACCACATCACCACAAGGACTCTTACATTAAATCCTGAAGCATATTCACAAGTTAAGTAGCTTAGTTCCCCCTGACCCCCAAAGCATTTCAATTTAAATCCTAGGTTTTCTTAAATGATTTGAGGATGCTTGAATAAATATCTTTGACAGTTAATCTGAGAGAACAACTTTGCTGAAAACATTTCTTCAATAAATCAAAAAGCACAAAATTTTGTCAAAAGGAAAAGCAGGAAACAGCAAGGTAAGATGTTCTTCTATACAAATATCAGTTTGGCATTCTCCATAAAAGCATGTACTTATTTCAGTTTTCATTTTTTGTCAGCATTTTGCCTCAAACAAGTGAAGTAGAAGACCAGGGTGGGGTTTTCCTACATTTATTTTAAACGAAAACTCATAGCTCTAAGTTTAGGCATATAAAGAGAATTAAGTCAAGCTGTTATCTTGTAAGAAGCCTGATTAACTACTTTTTCAGAAGAGCAAATTTTCAGTGTGACTGGATTTTCTCAAAGAGATTTCAAGTACGGAAGATTAAACTTGGATGAATAAACATTATTAAATCATTCCAATAGAAAGAATTGCACTTCTCTTCTACCTAGACATAATTTTCCTAAATCTCTTGACCTAAAATTAAAAAATAAAGCCATGACACACTTTATTAATGTATCTTACCTAACAGCATCCGTATCAAATTGTAGATTTGGTTTATCAATCAATCCCAATGAATACAGTTGGTACGCCAAAGCACATTTCCCCACCATAAATTGGGCTGTGTTAGTGCGATCTAAACAGTCCACACAATTGGTTCGGAGAACTCCAGTCTGGTAAAGCAATCCAAATAAGAGATTTTTCTTAATTAACAAATTACAACACTCATGATTATTACTTTTTTCCTACTATCCCATACTTGTCAAATCTCAAATTACGTCAGCTCATGAAAATTTGAGGAAAGATATTTCTAAAAAATGTTAAAAATCAATTCATCTCTAGCAAGATACATCAGACTGCTGTAATGCCTTCTTCCTAAATATTCTTGCTTCTATCATCACACAAACTGCATGTCTTCTTCAACTCACAAACAGCCCTAAAGATTTACCTTAAAAAGAAAAGCTATGTTGTTTCAGTGAAGTTCTAATTTTCAAGTATGCTGTAACTACTGCAAAAAATAAAGCACACTTCTAACTTGCTGTGGTTCTGCTGTGATGGTGCTTATATTTTTAGCTTTCTGTATCTGGAGCAACACACTTCAACATTTTGTTGAAGGTCAAAGTCATGTACATATTCTTTTATGCTGCTTGCACCACCATTCTTCAATTCCATGATGCACACGAAGTTATTTTATAATATGAACAGCTGCAAAAAACGTATTTTAATATAACAGCATGGGGGATTCTTCTGCTCAAATCTATATGGCTACATCCAAGCTAGTCAACTACACTTTTATTGCCTTAATAAAGAAGCACTTTTTGGGTGTGACTCACAAGAAACCTATTCCGAGATGAAATGTGATCCAAATGCTTACATGTATGCCAATGGTGACTACCTCAAACAATTAAAGTTGAAAGACAGATAAAACAGTAATTTCCCTAATTCAGGTAAACTTGTAAGACTTACATTAAAAAAATCTAACTTTTACTGCACTGGTAACACTACAGACTAAGTAGTAATGGAAAGTAGTTTAAAGTATGAGCATTTCTCAGACTACCTCCAGAAAAAACACAATTTCAATGGCATGAGGTTTTGCAGCACCACACGATAACTTTAAGCCCTATTTCCCAATTGGATTTCTGGGATGGACAGCAATAGTGCTGTTTACTATAAGTATTAATTTAAGAGCACTCTGTGAATGACCAATCAGGTATTTAAGTGAAATGGCTCACTGGTGCTTTGGGAGTGCTGATCTACACCACTATAACTATAAATTAATAAAGTATATTTCAGTACCTGCAAGCGACCAGTGGAAACAACATAACCTCCCAGTTCATTCCACCTGAAAAAGAAACAAAACAGATTGACTTACAAATAATTTAAAAAAAATAACACATCATGCCATGTATTGATCTGCTCAGTGAAAAAGGGTGACAATTAAAAACCTGCCACAAAGCAAAACTGATATCCCTGAATACCAGAAAGCAGTGAAAGCTCTATGAAGCAAGAAGACATTATAATTAAACCACATTTAAAAAAAAAATAAAAATCTAGCCTTAAAGTAGAAACATTCCAAAGCCATACCAAATATTGCCTTTGCTACCCATAAAAGAGTATGAGCAACACAAGTGTTGCTAGATTGGGTCTTGAGTGCCCAAAAATTGAAGTAGGTACAATGCCAACAACTGGAAGGCAGAGGCAGAACATACACTGTAGCAGAAGCTGGTTGATTTAAGTCTCCCCTTCATACTGATTCTAGGCATACATGCTGGATACACACATACATACATATTCTCCAGGTCTTGCAATTCTGTACAGGCCTTAACTGTACCCCAGCACCAGAAATTGATGACATTTTGAGGAGGAAGAGCAGTTATACCTGGTGTAAGTAACCCATGACATGTAAGTAACCCAAAACTGAATATTTTCAAGTTAGTAGGATTACTTAGCCTGACCAGAGCACTGCTATGGCAAGCCTATATATCACATTTGAGACTTGCCAGAGTACCTCTACAGAACACGGCATCCCATGGGTGTATCGATCTTGTTCCTGCTAGTTTACAGTCGCCATGTTTGCTGCACTGCATGGCAGAGAAAAGCTCTAGGAAAGCCTATGAAAGTTTTAGCTCAGACTGTTTCTAAATGAAGATAGGGTAAAAAGGCAAGGATGCCTTTCATGCAAAATATGAATGCCCATTTGGGTAGTGATGAATTAGATCCCTAACATGAAAACTTGAATCAAAAAATTCTGGAACTTCTAATGTGGAAGTTATTTTACTTCTGGGTTTTCAGGGGCTTGAGACAATTCAAATGATTAAATCACTGTACTTCTGCAGAAGTCTAAGCAAACAGTTCCTATTTTTAAAAAAAGTATTAAATTTTGTATGTATGAATACCATAAAATCCATTGGAAAACACCGGACTCAGTAACATCTAGATGATAGTTATCTTACTAGTATGCCTCAAAAGCAGCCACTTATTAAATTCCAAATGTTGTTTCATTTGTTAAAACTTACACCCAAATTTACGATTCCTTTGGTTAAGGTGAAAAAAAAACCAAAACACCCCACTTTATATAAACACACATGGCACAGATTACAAATTAGAAATAATGGTTTGAAGTAAGAACTCGTTATAAATAGAATAGCAGCAACGTAATTGCACTCTTTCAGTGTATAGTATTTCTTAGCATGTGCCTCCAACTGCAATCCTTTTAGTTATAACTTAATAACAAATTATATTTTTTCATATTAATTTAAGCCCTAAACCAAGAAATAATATAATAGACATAAAAATTCCAAACAGCTCTCCAAGGAATAGATGTTATTCATTACACATCAATTAAAGTATACGTACTTTTCATCTGGCCGCAAGATACTGCAGTAGGAATCAGGTCGATTTACAAAAAATCCAGTCTTCTTTACTACACTTTCTGCAATCACATTCAGTCTATCAAGGACATTGCAAAGTTTGCTGAGGAAAGGAAAAAAAATATACAGTCAAGATACATGAATACTAAAAAAAAAATATATATTTCACAGCTTGGAAAGTCTTTTAATAACAAAATTTTTTTAAAGGAAGACTCACATCACAGCTTTATTTATCCAACAGTAATTATGTCTATAGTTTCCTTAGATTTTACAGACTTGGGAAACAACCACTGACCATATCTGAGCAATTTTGTTTACTTTTTAATACAACATATTGCATAAACTAGAAGTGGAAGACCTTTGTAAAATTTCCCTTTGTAGAGAATTTTAAAGTTTTCATGCCTTGCTCCACTTTGGTAAGAAACCACAGAAAACATTAAAAATCCTTGAAAAAGCTGAGATTTTATTCTGTCCATAGATCTTACTAAAATTCTCCCATCATTCCTAAGTTACATTCAACTCAAAAGTGAAACACTTGGTAGCATAGAGTTATTTGTATTGTGGCTAAGAGCACTAGTACAAAGAAAGATATTTTCTACCTTTTTGTGTATTTGGCCATATCCCAGGGTATATATATAATCGCATGCTCTGGGGGTAAAAACTGGTTGAGATATGTCACAGCAGCAACAAGTTCTTCACTAAGAATCCTTTCATGCTTCCTTTTTTCACGTTCCTTTAGCAAAAAGAAAAGGAAGTTAACATGACAGTTTTCATTAGCAGATGTATGTAACCCATATCCATACACATATACATGTATGTATAAACAACAGAAATCAAAAGTGGAAGCTGTAACAACAGCGGGCAGCTCTTCATAACTAGTACAATTAGGCTGAGAAGAGAAGACACAGAAAAATCTAAACATTCTGGGTTTTTAACAATCGACGTGTATTAGTAGTAAAAGTCACCCATCTCAACTGTGCGTAATCACTGGCTGAAAAATGGAACGCTATAAAAGCCAAGAAGGGCACACAGAAACAAAAGTGGCAATACAGACAAAGACAAAAGAGAAGGAAAAAGACAGGCAGAAAGGAAAGTATCGCATTCAATTCCAGGGTAAAAAAAGGATCCAGGCAAATTCTTCTTCATTATTGACGGGGGATGGGGAACAACAGCTCCCAGCTCCCACCTCCCAGCTTTGCAATAATTTTAAAAAGTTAGAATTATGTTGCTGTTCTCTGACTATACCACATGTTTTGGCACTCTATATATTAGTATGGCTTTCCTCTCAACTTCATCCAAGCTTAAACCTATACTGAACCCATGTTACAGAAACTGATTGAAATATGTAATAGTCCCAAATAGCAAACCCAAAGGAAGCCTAATACATTCATTACTAGTTAACAAGTTTGCAAGATAGACATACATAGGAGGACAGATTCATATTTCATCAACATTTAAGTAATAAATAAATAATAAAAGTACTGGAGATAGAAGTGCTTAGCATTTGTGTAAAAGCAACAGCAACATCCAAAAAAAGGTGTTCAGATGTGGAGGCTTCCACACCTCGCTTTTCCTCCCGCCCCCAAGTGGTACATAAAGTAATAAAGGAACATGAACTTTAGCATCTTAACATTGAGCATCTACAGAGAGGGAAAGAAAGAGATGCATTTTCAGCCACTGTACCAAAAGCCCTGTGAATAAAAGCATATGCTGATTCACATGTCACAGTCATGTGAGCCTAGACTCACACTATAACAGTGGCTTTTGAAAGCTATGGCTGCAAGAGATAAATCATTTTCTTGTCAACAAATGCTGTCCTAAGTCGATTGCACAGACTCTTGGACCGTCTTAAAAGCACTCCTACACAGCAAAGCTTCTAGAAATAGCAAACAGGTTAACTAGTTGCCATTTATTACAACTTAAGAGTCTTAAAAGACTTCTTTTTGTATTTTCCCTATATTTTTTAATATTAGGAATGGATCCTACACGCACATGAAATATCCTTTTTTCTAATGAATACAATTCTACAACATGATGCATTACATTATTTTTTCTTAAAGGCTAAAAAGAAATAAGATATGATTCAAGCAAAACAAATCAATATATCAAACTCAAATGTGGAAACAGACACCACCAGAGAAAATGGCCGGATCAGAACAGAAAAACCAAAACAATCCCCAACTCAAATACAAGACGTAATAACCAAAATTACACTGCCACCCAGAATCCAGGCTTTGTACCACAGCCTCTCACACAGCAGTGAATTGAATTACTGCAGCAATCATGAAGCTCCCCCCATTAGTCCAGCCCTTCTGCCAGTGGCACTGCCCATTTACTAGCATCAGACGCTTCAGTTTTCTCTCCTGCTCATAATTCCATGGCTCTACCAGATGGAGCAAACAACAGAAGATAAGTCCTTATCATAATATTTCAAATAACTCAGTCATCTGTGTTAAGAAGCCTACAAACCTCACTTTGCATGGAACCATACTATTTTAGTATTTTTTTAGTGCTAAATTAAATTTAGCTGTAAATTTATTTGGACTTACTCACATCTAAGGGGTAACAGCAGAAACCTGAAAACAACAGTGAAAGGTTACTGTAAAAAATCTATAAACATAGGAAACTTTCTTTTTTGAAGGGCGGTAGTGGAAGCAGTTAAGAGTGTTCTATACTGTACTGTGTAGGATGAGATTTATGAAGTAAATATTCTATTTATAAGCGAATATTAGTTCAGAATACAACCAAAATTACAAGAGATTCTAAGAAATAAGCATAATATTAAAAATTAGAAAACATATAAACATATTCAAAATATTGTACCTTCACCAGATTCAAAATAATAATGGGAGAGCCGAACCTCTGAAGCATTTGGTCAAAGTGAAGAGCAGCAACATGTGCAAAAGGATCTGCTTGGTCCACTGCAACAAAAAGATATATTCAGGATGATATTAAGCAAGCTGTAGTCACTTAAATAATTTTCCTTTAAAAGCACTCCTCACAAAATTCATGCTAATTCTCTGATAGTAATGATACAATTACATACTGTACCCTCTTTTCATGCATAAGCAGTTAAAAAAAGAAAAAGTTCCCTTTTCCAAATTGGAAGCGACCTCTTAACCAAAACTGTAATGAGATGCTTACAAAGAGCAATTATTCTGGCCCCATTAAACTTAGTCCAGACGAAAATTTCCACCATTTTCAGTAAGTTCAAAACTTTATCCATAATACTAAGATAAATGTAGCTAACTTTGTACACAAAATAAGCCCAAAGAAAGCTGAAAACGTCAAACAGAAGATTTTTGTGTTCCATTTCTGAACGTGAAGTCTAAGATAGAAGGGTTTTTTCTATTCAATTTCATCAAATGCAGATTTTTAGATGGTTGAATGTTCGTATGCCATGCTGTTTATTACAAAGTACATTGATTTACCTTCCCAAAGAACAAATGCATAAGACAGTTCATTCATTTTTGCAAATTGAGTTTTCACTCAGTCTCTCAGGTCTTCCTTTAGGATACAGTGCTAACCATAACCTGTCACAGAGAATAATTTGTACATACATGTTATGGGTGGCTTAGGCATCATAGTCGAAATATCTTGAGACCAGTACAGAGGGACAGATCCTCGAACCTGAACGTAGGAAGAATAACTCCCTGCAGAAAATGACATAACTGAAGCATCATAAAGTATTTGTTCAGTTTCCACTTCATTAGCAACATCTCCCTAAAACAAACAGAAATACACATATGATGTAGACATGACAGTTCAGAGCTGCATGCATTATAGAGAACAGATCAATACAGAGTACAATTAAACAGTAGGACACCAAATCACAGTAGTGAGAACACCACTGAAGGTTAAATTCATTTGTCCCTAAATGTGTATTATCAGATTTTTATTTTCTTTACGCTATGTGGGAAATAACATTATCTCTAAGTGTAAAGAAAAGAATTGTTGGTTAAGACTTATTATTTTAAGAAGAGCTTTATTATCTCAATTAAAAATGTAATGATATCTCTGATAACATTATCTAATAGCATAATTTACAGCCAAGACCCTAACAACTCTCTAAAACATTTCCATTCTACCGTCAGACAAGCTCAAGCTTTCATATTGTTGAGCAGAAGGGAAGCCCTAAAATCCCATTTAATTTACCTCACAGTTTGCTCCTCGTTTCAGAAAACGTGTTCCAGCAAATTTGCTTGATCTTCTGGCTATCAGAGTGACATATACAGGATGACCGTATATTAACAGTTCTTGAAAGAGAAGTTAAGGTTTTCATGTCACATGCAATTTTTTGTTCACTTACTTCATGCAAACAAAAATAAATTCTGAAAAAGGTGTATGAAACCAAAACATCTGATTTACTAAAAGCTCCTTAACAGTGATGAGTATAACCTCCAAATTTCTTTTACAGTTGGGAGAGAGCATTGCCCTTTACAACCATCGTTTTTAAGAACTTCAAAAAGGGAATCTAGATTACAATACATCAACCACTTCACACAACATGCAGAGGAGAAGTATTTCTATTTTATTAAGTGACAACGGAGGTGAAATAGACACAAGATTCACCTCGGGCTGCAAATACTGTTTTTTTGAATACTGGGATTAAAGCCTGGGAGCTTCTATTTTCAGATCAGCTATATCAGTCACCCTCCAATTATTTGTCTGGAAAAGTAGGTAGGTTTGCAACTACTGAAAGCCAGAGGCAAACAGCTACAGATGCGGTGGTGGCTTTCTTTTAGGCTTTTTATTTTTTATTAAGACCTGAAAAAAGATAAAATCAGATGTCTAGCATGACTATCACTACTTCCTTAGCATAAGGGAGGCACAAGAAAGAGGGCAGAAGACATTTGCTCATGAAATACCTACAGCAGAGACTATTGTCACTCACTAGGCAGCTGCAGGCGTAATGCTGGTGGTCAGATCCATAACTACTACTTCGATTAAGTAAGATCACAGATTAAATAGCAGTATATACAAACAGATCTAGCTTCCTGTGTGGGGACTAAGCCAATGATCAGCAGCCTTACAATCGTAAAAAGCAAAATTAAATTTTGCAAAGACACCACTAACTTTAACTTCATAATTGTATTTCCTTCTCCAGATATTTTGTTGATACGCTTTTAAACTAAACGTGGTAGAGTTGATGATTAGACTAGAGTGTCTCTGTAATAATCCAAATTCTTATCAACTAAGATGTTGAGACGGCATTTCTTTGGAATGTGATACGCATTTGGACTTTTTCTCCTCCTATTACAATGTACATAGACCCACCTACACATTTTAAGTAATATATAGCCAGGTAAAAAAAAGATTTTCAGATGTTCTAATGTTTACTTAACTCTCTTCACACAGTAGGCCTGAAGTTCTGTCATCATCTTCAACAGAGTAAATACAAGAATTTCTGCAAACTGCAGTTACCAAAAAATGTTTTAAAGATTAGTAAAAGAATGTTTCTATGTCAGCAATTCAGTTCTGTTTAGCTTTTCTCCCTTTCCTCAAGTGTCTATGAAAAAATACAGCTGAGCCTTAAAATCCTCTCAAGTTCTTTACTACTAAAACCCATGCTCACAAGCAGTGCCTCACTGTGAATGAAGTCTACCTGTGTCAGGGCCCTGTTACAAGAACATAACCGTATTTCTTATTTAGCATAAAACCTAGAAAAATACAAAAATAAAAGCCAACCAATCATTCTAAATTTGAGAAGTATTTACATGACGAAGAAATAACACAATGTATTTCACATGTACAAATTTTTTTAAAAAAATCAATAAACCACCATTTGTTACAACCGTAAAAGGATACTTGATTGCCCACAGAATCCGTGAATAATATACAGCAGCCAGTCACGATGAACAGTATTTTTCACTGCCTCCAAGAGCTTGCCATTCCACACATACTTTTCATAAGGCTTACTGCAAATCCCAAAGACACCTACGAAGTTGTTACAATGAAAAATGCATTAGCAATTAAGAAACAAGCTTACCTGCACTGGTCTGTTTTAAAATCCACGTCATTGGGCCTTTATTTTGATTTCCCCTTGACTGCAACTCAGCATGGCATTTACTTGCATCCTTGAAGTTTGCCAGACACAGGTAACTTCAGGCACACGCTGAAGTTCAGCATTTAGGAGGATTTAGAATTTTTCAGTGGTTGCCAATCATTGTAGTATTTGAGGGCCTTCACGCCAAAGTTTCTGATACTTCCAGTACTGAAAAGAGATCTCTGCATGGTAGCAGCAAAGGATCTGATAATAAGGGAAACATATCAAGTTGTGAATTCCAGTTAAGGCAAAAATACTCTTATAGGAGGACTTTATAAGCTTCTAAACTCTGGGTCAGCTCTGGAGTTACCTATTACACTCTGGAAGATCATACACAGCCCTGGCCCCCTTTAAGAAAACCATGTCAATCCCATTCTCACATAATATAGAGTGGTTTTCCTAATTTATACTGGCACCAAGAAATGCAGCTATTGGAGACCTGCAAATTAGAATTCAGTTTCTGATATATTTGAAACCTGAGCCTTTTTCGGTTTCAAAAATCAGGAGCAAGATGACAACTGGCACTAAAAGGTGGTGAAGGGAATTGAATGAGTCTGAATCTTAAAGAGAACGAATAGTACAAGAACTCCATTATCTACATTTTTTGTGTAGTTTTTTCAAATGAAGTTTCTGGCAGAATGAGTTACATCGTAGCACTATGTATGTCAGTTATAGCAGCCAAATGTTCTGCTGGGGGAAAAAGATGAGTCCTCCTAACAGACTGAACGTGAAAATGCAGCTGTTGAACAAACTGTTCCTACCTAGTCACCCAACTTACCATAAGCCCAGGGAAAAGTGATGTAAGCATTTTGGTGAAGGAGTATATACATTCAGCAGAAATCAGCCACAAGCGCTTGGTCATCAATCTGTGCTCCTCATTTCTAGCAACGGTATTTTGGTGAGAATTTGTTCTTGAATGACAGGTGGCTATTTCTTACAACATACTCTATCATACGAACAGGTATGTTACTAATATCTACTGGAAATGCAGCTGTGTGTGCTATCAGTATACTGTTGATGGGGTCAAGGTTATGGCATCTTTTTCTCCCAATGTTTTCACAAAGACATAGAAGAGATGATGCCACTGAATAAATTCCTGAGAGGTTTTGCAGATGAGGAATTACTGCTCCTTCCACTCTTCATGGTTATTTCTGCCATTGTAGTATTTGACAACCCACTCCTCATATTCTGATGTATATCACCATGTTAGCAAAATCTTTTTCTTGGAGGGGAGGGGAATTGCTTTTCTTTAAAAGGAAATACATTATTTGATTATCTTTCAATTTTTCCATCAGATTTAGGGCATACTGTATACAGCATTACTTTTAGACTTTAAAGTGACAGTATGATAGATGTTTGCAACTATTTAAATAGTAAATTCCAGTATCAAAGATGATTAGTTACTTACCTAACTTTCATTATCATTCTTTTGAGTTACAGTCAGTGTAGGTCTATTTTGTGATGAAAGGGTGTCAAAAACAAAAGTGTGGACAAACAGTGTCCAAGTTTGTCTTGCCTAAATTTGGGTCAGGGGTTGTTTCAGGCATTTCTGTGTTTCAACTATGTGCTTGTCAGACCTTCAGAGTACCTTTGGGAGGCACAGAAAGCAGGACCAATAAATTCCTTCTTCAGTGCCTCAGAAGATTCATTTCGGGTTAGAAGAGATGGAAGACGAGTCATGCAATTCACACTATCTCAAAGAACCCAAGTTACTTTAGGACAAGTGGGATTTTTGTATCATATTCCTCTGTGTATTATATTTTCTGTGCAACAGGAGTTACACAGTGGGTGACTACAAATAAGGGTGGTGATGTAGAGAGGCTGTTGATCCTCTTTATAACCAATACAAACGCAGATCCAGATGTTGCATCTAAGCTGGCTTCCACATCAAGTTCATAGTGTTAAGCAAAATAGTAGCAGACTTCCTCTATCCTATTGTTTTGCTTATCAGCGATGTATTTAAAAGGCGTGGTATTCTATTACTACCTAAGGTGGCTAGTTCAATCTCCACAGCTGTTTGAGACCACTTTTATAGCAATGTATTCATTAGAAATCAAAGGTAGCACTGTTATTTCTGATATTTCACAATTAAACAGGGAAAAAAGTGGTGTCACATATACAATACCAAAAAGTAAAAAAAAAATAAAATTAACAAGCTATTTTTTAACAAGCATTCAGATAATTAGCACAAGTCACAGGGCAATAAAACAGAAAAAACATCAACTTCAACAGAATGAAATCCAGTATTAAGAATTTCAGAGGAAATTTTTTTTTGGTGGGGGTGCGTGTGTGTGTGCATGAAGGGAAAGGGAAAGAACGTAGTTTTACTGCCTGGCTGGTCATCTTTACACTTTTATGAATATGGCAGATCCAAATTGAAGGCTGTAGTTTTCAACTGAAATCAGTAATTTTTCTTAGTCTTCCTGATAGTGCTTACTACATCAAGTTGATACTAACTTCATAGAATTCTGTCATCAATATTTTCCAATGTGAAACAAAGTAACATTTATCAGTACTTAATCAGCTATTGCTTCCCACTCTCTTTGTAATTCATTCCTATTGGGAGTCTTACAAGTCCGTTCAATAATCAGTTGCTGAAAACCATCAGCATGCTCAATTATCTCCCTAAGTTGCAATGTAAATTAACAAAACAATGACTAATCACCTCTAGAAATTGCATTGTTCAAATTCAAATGTCTGTAATTGGCACTTTACGTAATCTTTTATTAACTCATGACTGTTATGAGACTACTGATCAATACAGAAGACTCAAATGTTTCTCAAAAGTAAACTTAAGTGGAACATATTCTAAGTGTACACATGACCAACAATATCAGTTTAATTAGTAACATTTGCTTACCGCTTCCACCCTGTGTTGAAAGTCCTTCATCTTCAAATATATCAAAACTCTCTTGTCGGCTCTGGGTTGTTTCAGTTTTTAATGTCTCAAGTGGCATTCTCAGGACAGTAAGATTATACTGAAGGGAGTGAGATAGATCATAGCTGTAACTGATAGATAGTTAACATGTATTAATAATTGTAGATGCACAGTACTTTTCTAAAAGCCCTTACTCTCCATCTGTACTTATATTTAACACAGTATTATTTTAACCATTAAGAAAAAAAAATATTTTTAAACACAATACAGATTCTTATTCTATAAAGGCAAATGACAGAAATTATTTCCAAAAGAAATTTTACAAACATGGAAACTGTTTACAGTACTATAGTTGAAATTGTATTTATATTCTTCTTATAACTGAAAACTGAATATGCCTTTTGAACAAAGCATATCAACAAACTTAATTCGCTATGTCCCAAGAAGCAGCTCTGAAGATCAAAAATAGCTTTTCCACCAGAAATATATATAGACATAGACAACCTCATTTTTCTGAGATTTAAGTATTACTCTCTAACTACTACCTGAACTCAAAACAGCCAAAAATTTGGCCACAAAAACTGTGTCTGTCCTCAAATTTGTGATTGCAGCACAGATGCATCTTAAGACAGTTGCTGCTGAATAAACAAAAGGTTTGGGTTTTTTTATTAGTTCCATAATCGTAACAAATTCTGCATCTCATGTCTTATACTGACAACACTCTACATTAATTGCTGCATTTTATAAGCCACTAGGATTCATTTCTCCAAGGAGAAACTGAATTTACACAACACATGAATCAGAAATACACACAGATTTCCACTTTAGCCTAAGACAGCATCAGTGATTACTGGCCTTCCTGTAAGTTCTAGATACTCATTAACGATAAAAAAAATAATAATTATTTAAACATTGGACATTTAGATTTATCATTAATGATAACAAAGTCTAACCCAATGTATTCACCACATTTCCATAATGATGACCTGGCATGATTAGCCCTTAGGGGAATAATAATAATAATAATAATAATAATAATAATGCCTGTTACATGCTCAGTTCGCATATAACAGAACCTTTAAACAGTATTCCAGTAAAAGACTTGTTCAGGCTATTCCTCCATTTTCCCCTTAGACCATACGTTTTCTTATAATTAGCTTCTAATTCATTTAATGATTTACAGAAAACCATGCAGAAAAATATGCTACAATTTCAGCCAAGAACAATTTAAATTAAGCTTATAAATGTGTTTATCAGAGTTGTGTAAGAACCTTCTCTTTTCCCCTCTATGCACAACCACAGAAACAGTATACATTCATCACCTTCCAAGCGGGGGGCTGGGGGGGGGGGAAACAAAAAAAGTATGTATAAAAGTTGTATAATGTTAAGGCTGGGAGACAAAGCATGGAAGAAAAACTCAGGCTTTATACTGTGAAAAAGCCTTCCACGCAAAACCACAACACAGACATGAAACTTCGGTAGGTTTTGTCTTCACAAATACAGTGGTGACAAAAAGCCTTTATTTTCCAAGAGGGAGTATCTTCTGGACTGACAAACTTTTTGGTATTTGCAAAAGGATTTTTTCGTTTAGTTTTTTTAAGTCAAAGTCTTTTAACTACTACTGCCCAGTTTACTGCCCTATTTCCCCTGTTTTTCTGCTGTCCCAAAAATCTCATGTATAATAGTAGCTGGGACACGGAAACTTATCTTAGGTATGGGATTTATGAAACAATAAGCAAGAGAATTGGTAACGCCTAGAAGGCCCTATGAAAGATGTACCCTATGCAGGGTACATCTTTGACAAGGACCTATTTCTCTGTCTTTGTTTCTGAATCAAGACAAAGATTTATTTCTGGAAAATGAGATCAAGGAAGCAAAACTGATAGGACAAACAAACCCCCTGAAATATAATACTTTTCCAAAGAGAGAACTTCTGCATAATCTGGCAAGGCTGAACAGTCAGTGGAAACAGTAATTTCAGTGTCTACCTTCTACCATGCCACTAACATTTCTATAGTTTTTAACTTCATTGAGACTACATTCCTAATCAATTTGCTGAAGGAGAAAGCAGGTTCAAAAGACACAGATGAAAATGAACAAGCAGTGTGATCATGTGTCTTATTTTCTCAGAATACAAACCTGAAGCTCTTAAGTATCAAAATCCAAAAGCAGAATCTTACAGCAAGTACACAATTTTTTTAAAGGAATCAGTAACTAATACCTACCTAAAATAGAAGTTGCTAGAAAGGTCCACATTTTGAAAGATTCTCAAATACCTAGCAAAACAATTCAAGTTAAAGGAAAAATTATTAGTTTAACCAGACAGACCCCAAGAAGTCAGTCAGAAGATCTCAGAAATTAAACTCCATATAAATATTGACTCTTGCCATATGCTCCCTTCCTACCTTATCGTAATTGTTTTGATAGGTAATTCCACTAGAATGTCAGCATCTGGATTAAATAAACCAAATAGCTTTTTTTTTCATAATCCAGTGTCCGCTCATGTGCATACTCTGTTTCTTTAGGCAGCTGTAGATAAAGTTATGGTTTTATTTTCCACATGTGTGGGTCAAATTCTCTAGGACTTATGCAAGCAAACTCCCAACAATACTGCACAAGAATTAAAGATTTTTCAGTTATTCTCAAATAAATGAACAAGAAAATAAATATCTACTTCAACCCATCATACCCTCGTAAATTTTCAGAAGAAACCATAACACTGTCTATGAATGATAAACTGGCTAACACCATGAATATATAGGTTAGATAATATGGTCTTCTGCATTCTAAGAGGGGAGACTAAGGTATGACTGACTGTAAACGTCAAGTGAAAACTTTTTTCACAGTTACCATTGGCTTGATTTATTACCTGACATCAGTTTATCATAGTCTATCACTTTTTGACTATTCACACTTAGTACAAACTACAAAGCAGCTTATTGATACTATTTGCCTGGTATATCATAGAATTAGAGTTATCCCACCCTGACAAAAACACCATCAGGATGTAGTTGTACATTTCGTACAAAGTTCCCTGCTGATTAAAGACTCAAATTTCTTTCTTCAGAAAAAAATCACAGAAAGGAAAAAAAGAAGCTGAACTTACCAGCAGGTCAGTTTATCACCCTTTACAACAGCAACATTCACAAGTTTCTGACACCACACAATCATTAAATAATCTACTTGGCACATTTTGAGGGCACAAAAGATCTCTTCAGGTGATATTAAAACAGTGCTAGAACTACTAAGAAAAGAACAGTACCCCAAACAACATAAATCAGTATTAGCATCACTTTGCCCTTCTAAGAACAATGTTTATATCGGATGCTTCCTGGTGCACATCTGCTAGGATGTAGCTTTGACATGTAGGCAACATGGAGATCTGGACAAAAATCTCTGAAAGACTGTAACAGTTGTACTTTGTACGTTAGAGGCCACAGAACATGTGGCCCATTCTCCATTCTTTCACACTAATTTATCAACTAAGATAAAATGGCTTGAATAACATACTAACAGAAGGAAATCCACAACTGAAATTTCTGGTTGCAGTTCACCATTGCTTAGAAAATATTCCAAAAGTACATACTGTTTACCACCATTACTTACCTGGCTTCATCGGGATGAGTGACTCTTACAGAGTCATTTGGAATGTAGATCATATTTGTATCTTCTATTTTATATATTGCATGACCTCCAATATCTGCCATTTTTCTTCTTTTTGTTATTAACACAATGTAGTAGCCTTCTAAAAACCTGACAAAACCTGTTAAAACAGCATCAAAATGCTGTTAGTTGGATGTTTGCATTGATTTGATCAAACATATTCAGAAAAACAGTATCATAATTGTTTCAAGACTTCATAGAATTTTTGTTATTTCTTCATGTTATATGTATAATGTGCATATATACACACATACAAAAAAAAATATATATATATAGACACAGTCTTACAATTCACCCCCAGCAAGTGTTAATCAATGAAATACATAATTTTTACTTTTTTTTTTCCCTTCTACTGTGTGTATTTTTCATATTAGGTAGCAGAGTTAAGACAGACTCACAGAATGGTAGGGGTTGGAAGGGACCTCTGGAGATCATCCGGTCCAACTCCCCTGTCAAAGCAGGTTAGCCTAGAGCAGGTCAGAACAGGAACACGTCCAGGCGGGTTTTGAACATCTCCAGAGAAGGAGACTTGACAACTTCCCCTGTTCCAGTGCAAGCAAACTCCCAACAAGCTCTGCCACCCTCAGAGTAAAGATTTTCCTCACGTTCAGGCGGAACTTCCCGTGCTCCACCTTGTGCCTGCTGCCTCTTGTCCTGTCACTGGGCACCACTGAGAAGAGCCTGGCTCCATCCTCTTGACTTCCACCCTTTAGATATTTATAAGCATTGGCAAGGTCCCCTCTCAGTCTTCTCTTCTCAGGCTAAAGAACCCCAGGTCTCTCAGCCCTTCCTCGTAGGAGAGATGCTCCAGCCCCCTCATCATCCTCGTAGCCCTCTGCTGGACTCTCTCCAGTAGCTCCCTGTCCCTCTAGAACTGGGAGTCCCAGAACTGGACACAGCACTCCAGGTGTGGCCTCACCAGGGCAGAGTAGAGTGGGAGGATGACCTCCCTCAACTTGCTGGCCACATTCTTCTTAATGCAACCCAGGATGCTGTCGGCCTTCTTGGCCACAAGGACACATTGCTGGCTCGTGGTCATCCCGTTACCCACCAAAACTCCCAGGTCCCTCTCTGCAGAGCTACTCTCAAGCAGGTCAACCCCCAGCCTGTGCTGGTGTATGGGGTTATTCCTCCCCAGGTGCAGGACTCTACACTTGCCCCTGTTAAACCTCATCTGGTTACTCTCTGCCCAGCTCTCCAGCCTGTCCAGATCTCACTGAATGTCCTCATGGGTAAGCTTAGGAAGTGTGGGATAGACGAGTGGACAGCGAGGCGGATTGAGAACTGGCTGAAGGACAGAGCTCAGAGGGTTGTGATCAGTGGTGCCAAGTCCAGCTGGAGGCCTGTAACTAGCGTTGTTCCCCAGCGGTCAGTATTAGAGCCTGTCCTATTCAATATATTCTTCAATGACCTAGATGAAAAGACAGAGTGTACCCTCAGCAAATTTGCTGATGATACGAAGCTGGGAGGAGTGGCAGATAAAGAGTAAGTTGGTGTCTACTTAAGATACTTGTATTTGCTTTTTATAAGACTCTCAATTGTTCAGAGCGAGGCATACCCTATTTACTTCAGAGACCAAACCTTTAATCTTCCAGGGCAGGGAGGAACCCCAATCGCCAATTGTCTTTTCAGGTTTATGTATTATCTACTGGGGAGGGGCACAGAACAGCAAAAGTGGTTGAGGGTACCACAACACCTTTGTGCTCTCTCCTTAATGGCAGGGAATTAAAATCCCTGTCTACAGCAGCATCTCCCCCAGATTAGCCATTCAGAGCATCAGGGATAATCCTTTCTTTCTATTTCTTCTCTCAGATACTATCACTTGGCCCTGCTGAAGTCCAGAGGGCTAAGGAGGTAGAACAGGCAGTGTCTGGCTTTATTGCCTATAAAAAGAAGGGTTCTGAAGCCTCCACCCTCTTCCCTAACACCACAGGGCATAGCCATGCTCCTTCACTGAGTTGCTTCTTTGGAGGTCTCTATTACATATCGTTAGGAAAATGCGTAACAAACCCTCAATACAATACAAATGTATAAAAAAAAATTTTAAATAGAAATATGTAACCATCCCTGAATCCAAATTTGTTTCTAATACAGTACAAGTACTGATACAGCAGTACTAAGTTTTAATAAGTGATAAATCACATGAATTAGCTGTTAGAGGTAGCTGCTTTGATGGGTTGCTACTACTAAAGAGCCTGAAACTCAGTCACTGCTGCACTGTCAACAAATATATTAATTAGGGGGAAAAAAAAACCCTCACAATTCACATTGTTACTTGTATTTATACTCAGTTCTTTTAGCTTTGCATTATAAATTAAAGAAGGATGAGCAAAGCACACATTTTCCTCCCTGTCACTGCTGGAGGCTGCAACGTGATCGAATGAACTGCAGTCTTTCCTTCTGCCTTATTAGCCCCCCTTGGAAAAATGCTCTCACCTGCCCAAGGACAGGAGATCCTGCTGACAACAAGAAACAAAGTCTTCCGTTTGAAGCAGCCAGACTATTGAATATCAGTTGTTAAATAGCAGTCAGAGTTCTTCCTGTATTCTCCAGGTACCAAAAGCACTTACATGAACAGCCTCTATCCTTCAAATTTCACCAAATGTTATACCAAAGTCTGATAAGGAACCCAGCCTTTCCCCTTGGCTTGGTTCTCTCCATTTAAAAGTGATTTCTACTTTTATACACTATACAGTGAGCCAGAACTTAGCCTGTCAGAACCCCTATTCTGAGGTGCACTGTCTGAATGCACTGTCTCTTGTTAACAAAGTAACCAGAGAATAGAATAAAGCCGTCCTTTCCAATTCTACAAAAAATAGCCCTTTCTTCCTGACCTGAGCCAGGAGGCAGAAATAAATGACCATTGCATTCCCCCAGATAATATGTTCATACAAATATGATTAGACAGGATCAAGATGGAAGACATCTAAAGCACATACTTTAAAAGTGCAAGATAATCTGAAGATCACTAAGAAAGCACGTTACTGCTAAAAAAAAGAAGTGTCTAGAAATAGTACACCATATCTTCTGATAACCAATACATTTGTCCAGCGACAGAACATTTTCATGCAACATTCTAATTGAACACAACCATTTTCCAACTGAATATTATTATTACACATTTAGATAGCGAGCACTAATAGCTTTCGCAAAAAAAGTCGATGCAGCAAGACTGTTAGAAGCTTCTTTAGGTTTACCCATATTATTAATACTCTTAAATTCATAAGGAACATAAACCTCATCTGAGGAATTTCTGAAAAGTGGATCCATTGATAAGTTCCAAAATGCTTCATCAGCAAAACAAATATAGAAGAAAGTTTGCTTAATCTGCCACTTTATATTAGAATACCAGTAATATTTTCTTACGTTTTGGTTGTTTTGCAACATCAGAAGCATCTTTTAAAGTAATCGCATTCTTCACCTTCTCTGCAGCTTTGCATTTAGATGACCAGGTGTATATTGATGCAAATAAAGCACAAAGTATTTTTGGGGGCTGTCAGAGCACACATTAACATTTACATCACCCATCAATATACTGACCTTGATGTCTGACAATAGGGAGGAAAGTAGTGACTTTCAGACTAAGTTAGAAGCTATTAAATTCTTGAAGCAATTCTCTGGGATTATGGACAGCTGATCAGCATTTAAAAATTCCATTCACATACTAGTTGGTTATACTTGTTCAAACATGAAAAAAAATTTAAATACGTCACTGCAAAAAGTTAATCAAAAATAAAATTAAGTCATCTTTCTGAATAGTGTGTGATGAAGAAATAAAACCTAATAAAGGATGTCAACTTCTGTTCTCCTTTAAAACAGCATTCTGTGAGCTCTGGAATTCAGGAGGCCAAGTTTCACGTGATTTGTATCCTACAATCATCTGAGTTTGGCTATTTCCTAGATCTCTCTCTTAGTAACGAAGAAGAGACTAGTTACAGTGCAACTCTCACCCCTGTACTGGCCATCTGTTTCCACAAAATACATAGGAACATATTTATCTTTAAAAATTAAATTTCTCAATCCTCTTCAGTTTAAAAAAAAAAAAATCAAGGGGAGACAGAAAGATACACAGCAAGCCTCGCTTCCTTAAGAAATAAAAGATTTTATAAAACCAAACAAAACACTCAAAACACTTACCTACTACACCAAAAGCAGAGACAGCTCGAGATAACCCAGAAGAGCCCTTTTGCCCAATCTTTGTTCTGTTTCCCAGGTCTAAACGGCCAAGAAGTTCTCTCACCTCTTGTTGCGTATATACATGCTTTAAAATAAAAAGTCATTTAAATTACTGCTTTAGTAGTTAAAGTTATTTCATGCCAGAGAATAGCAGAATTTACTGAATATACAATAAACCAAACACCTGCTCTACCATCCTCTGTCTCCTGTTTCAGTCCTGCCAACAAGTTTCTTATGCACAAAATTCACCATTCACTGCAATAGAAATCGTCATGGTCATATGTGAATTCAAACATTTCTAAATCTTAAGTCTTAAGATTTTAAACCATAAACTTCCTGGAAAGGAATCAAGTCTTATTCTATCATGTACATTAAAAATCTTGTTGCTGCTCTATTTATTATCAGAAACACTAAAAATTTGGCTAGATAGTAATTAAATGTATTTTGCACTTTGAACAGCATAACTGAACATAAGAAAACCATTGGGAGCATATACGTAAGAAACTGAAAAACCTGAGGAAATGTCATTAAAGTGAACATGCTGTCTGGAGATCTTGTGGCCACTCCCATACTGTAACTAGTCATTTTCATGCTAATATTGTATGCATCTGACATACAAGGAGAGGCTGAGAGAGTTGGGATTGATCAGCTTGCAGAAGAGAAAGCTCAGAGGGGATCTTATTAAATTGTATAAATACCTGGTAGAAGGAAGTGAAGAAGTCTGAGGCAGACTCTTCTCAGTAGTATCCAGTCAAAGGACAAGAGGCAATGGGCACAAATTGAAATACGGGAAATTCCATTTGAACACAAGAAAAAGCTTTTTTACGGCGAGGATGGTTGAACACTTAATCAGCAGTGACTTGGCATGGCCCTGAGCAATCTGCTAAATTTTACAATCTAGTTGTAAAACAACAATCTAGTTGACACTGGTCTGAGCATGAGGGTAGGACTGGACAATCTCCAGAGACGCCCTCCAACCTCAGTTGTTACATGACTCTATGATTCTGTAACATATCTTTGTTGAAACAAATTAAATTCAGCTCAATATAGACAGTATTATTTGGAATAACTGAAAAACACCTAAATAGAGAGGCACTCACCTTATCATCAATTATAACCAAATCCTTTGGTTCAGTGCGATCTATTTTCAAAACGCGGTATTTGGTTTCTGCAGGATTACTTCCAACGAGAAAATACCGCTACATTAAAAAAAAAAAAAAAGTCAGCTCATACAAGATAAAGCAACCAAAGCCCGCTGTAACATAAGACATCAACAATGCCATTCATATAGTTTCTAGACTACAGCATTTCAATTAACACAAAATATGTAATATTCCATATGGACTGTTTATAAACTGGCTTAGACATCAGTACCTTAGGTACGTACATTTGTATACAATGAACCTTTACAACTTAAAAGGCCTCATTCTCTCTACTGTACAAGTACGAAAAAGAATTTTTAAATTGAAGAAGTGTGAAAACCTGTTTAGAGAGGAAAAAATGTAACTTTACACCAGGTACTCTCCAACTATGCCCTGCCCCAGCCATTACTGTCTTTGCATTTGCTTTGTAAAATTTAGCAGAAGCTTATGCACACTTATTTGTAACTTTTCATGATCTAAAACCACTGTTGCTGTATTGTAGTCCATTGCTATTCCTGCCAGCTAGTCTTTCTAGTCCATACTAAACACAGAAAAATTGTAAGTACTTCAGTACTGCATGTTTTCTTCATTTTTTATTTATATTTGCTACGACAGACTTCTTGCAATACTCAAGTTTAATTTGACCAGCCATGCTGGTTAAAAACTACTTTTTTAAAGAAGATGAGCTTTATTTCTCATTTAAAATACGAAAGAAAGACCACAGATAAATATATAATGTGCCCATTTCTTATTTAAGGGAATCAAACTATAAATTAATTTTTACATTTAGAAGAATTAACAGTAAACACAGGTTGCAGGACTGACTTGCTATAGGCAGCTCTCATTTTACTAATTCATTTAATCAGTGTGGTGCTACCACACAGCAAGGTGTAACTCACTAATAATGCTCAGCCTGGTAGGAAAGCATGGCAAATTCATGTGGATCTATGCAGTCAGCTCTTAACTTTAAAAGTCACATGGATTTAAGATGTGGGAGAGGAAATCAATAACAACATTCACAATAACCTCAGAATTTCATACTTTATACCAATTAAATGTTAAGAAACATATTTACTGTCAAAGTATTTAAGGTGAAAGAAGAACTCAAAGCCTTCTTCAGCTTCCTTGAAATCACAAAAGCATCTAGACAGTCAGTAAGCTCTAAAAAAGAAAATACTGGAGAGCTATAAAAGGAAACACCACCAACCCCTGGCTCTGCCTTGTACGCTTACTGAGTGGCAAGTTTTACTCTTAAATGACAGTAAAGAAGGCCCTTCAAAGTCAAATGCCATCACAGCACTCCCTCTCTGAAGCTTCTGTGGCAGCACTTCAACACAGGAAACCATTTCCTACTGGTTTTTTAGCAGCTATGTACTGCTGTGCACGGCCCAGGCTCCCCAGCCTGCTCCCCCTCAGAGCACCCCCCGCAGGACATCCCTTAGTGCCAAGATCCGCGCTTCCCAGGAGGGAAATCGTAACAACAAGGAGTGGGGCGGATCCCCACTAGGTGGCAGTAAATGGCACAAAGGTGGAGGATGGAGCTCTTCCACTGGGATCACCACCCAGCAAGAAACACCAAACCATCAAAACATACACTTGCTTAGACCGTGCTGTCATACCACCTTTTTCTTCATGAGGTAGAAGGTGAATGGGCAGAGGGGAATATCATATTCATTAGTAATACACAGATGATAAGTTACTTTGCATTTTGAGAGTGCTGCTTCTCTATTTGTACAAAATTGTTAATTAAAGCTAAACAATTTTAAGTAGTCCATAATACTGCAATACAGCTCAGTGATCTCCCCCCATGTCCAGCTCATCAAATGAGTGTAATGTCTTCTCAAAGTGACACCTATGGTTACCAATAAATCATCTTAAATAAAAACAGAACAGTACAACTAACTTTAAGATCCTTGTCCAAATAGCAGTTTGGACCAAAGACAACAATTGGAACATGATGTATGACACACAGGGAGAGAGAGGAAAAGAGCAATGGATGGATATAGAGTTGCAAATGCTATTACTAAGGAAGTTCAGCTGGATACTTCTCCATTTCCATTTTAACAGACCGATAAAACATAAGGAAGCGCTATGAGGAATGCATCACTCGCATCACCTTGGCAGCTGCTATAGTGAGCTATGCACAGCTACAGTGCCAGCTGTAAGTGCTGCTGCGGCTTAGAACAGCAGCAGAGTTAGATTAGATGAGAAGTAATTGTGTCTGCAGACCACAGTAGCAACCACCATAATGACTGGTACTTAACAAGCTCTCTTTTAAGTCCTTTAAGGACTAATTTAGGGGGGTTGTTTTATGTTAGAAAGCTAGGCTGTGTAATGTATTAAGGAAGGTCAGTTGAGAACAGTGCCAAAACCCAGCGTCGATGGACTTAAAGAAGCCACCTTCTTAGAAAGCCAGGCAATGGGAAATCTCTATTTAGCAAATGGAAATCTTACCCACTGCATGTTAGAGGGCATTTTTGCGGAAGTAATAAAGAAGGAAACATCCATAAAAACTTTTGAATTTGGACTAGTCCTCAAAACTAGGTACCCAAAATTAGACTTCCACTTGGGAAGTTTTCAGGACTGGCTAACAACCAACAACTCCAGAATTACTTGAAAAACAGCATGATATGCCAGCTCATATTCAACCTTCAAGATTTGAAATGAAAACAAAGATGATATTAAAACTAACACTGCAAAAATTACACATAAAAAAAGACATTTTGGCATTAGCTGCTTCTGCTACCTAATTTATGCATCTAATGAATAAAGAAGTCTGCCTTAGTGGATGATATGGAGCACAAATAAAACCGTATCAGTGACATGTACTGCAATTAAATTTGCCATCACACAAATACTAGGAAAGAATAAAGAAAAATACCAAATCAACACAACACTGAGCATGTATTATCAAATAAATTAATTTCTGAGGTCGTAACAGAATTGTAAAATTAATCAAGGCTAAAATGCACTGTATTGTTTACAACTATTTTGATTAACATAAATCATTACAGTAAAAGAAATGAGAATCCACAAGTAAGCTACACAAACCTTTCTGCGAGTTTCTATCCTTATTCTCTTATTCTATTTCTTACTAAGTTGAACTGAATGAATTGAAGCATTTTCCAAACATCTTAAACAGTTCCACTCCACAGCAAAGTCACTGCATTTAGATAAATGGACAACCTTGACCCACAAAATACTTTCTCACAGAACTGTACACAAGGAGAAACTGTGCAGACTTCCTCATCCTACTCTGCCAAAGTCTTTCAACCATCACCTGAGATGAAACATGCTGTTTTCAGTTTTAGTCTGCCCTTGGTCTTTGCTGAAACTTGCTAACAAGTGCACTTTACCAACCATGGCATTGCACCATGTAGCTATGAGATCTGGACTGAAGCTTAATTTGCTGCACAATCATCACTAAGCAACCACAACATAGGAATAATCATTAGTCACTTCAACCTGGGACTGAGTTTTAATCAAAGCAATCTAATTGAAAGGCTTTACACCCTCTTTTATCAGTCTTTTGATTCAGCCAAACCAATAAAAATAGCTATTTCTAAAAAAAGTCTAAACAAAATAAAAAACTTCTTACTGCAACTTGTTGTTTATAATGGCAGGATAATAGTCCTGATATCAAACATTCTGCCCAGAACTATTTATTTTTCTCTTTAAGAAGATTACTTCTTAGAACTCCTGGTCTAAAACTACGATTTGCTTCTTTATATAGATTAATTATCATTAAGAAATGTTAGCACTGTAAAGAACTTACTTCACTCATCACTTAAAAAGCAACACACAGCTTAATCAGCAGGGAAAAAAAAGTGAAAATACACTAAAAGTTACTTGAAAAACACAGCAGTGCACTAATACAGCCGGTTTTTAAATCTGCAAATAGCATAAAGAAATCACTTAAGAACTTAACACAAAATACTGGCAAAAGATACTCGTTGAGCCCATGTATATGTCTAAAAACACAAAGCCCTAAGGAAGTGTGGTGGGTTAATACTGGCCGGCTGCCAGACCCCCACCCAGCCACGCTCTCACATCCCCTCCTCCTCAACAGGATAGGGGGAGAACATTAAGACGAAAAAGGTGATGGGTCAAGGTAAGGACAGTGAGACTGCATCACAAGCAAACCAGACCTGACTCGGGGAAAATGAATGTAATTTATTGACAATTAAAACAGGTTCTGACAGTGAGAAACACAGATAAATTAAAACACCTTTCCCCCCCACCCTCCCTTCTTCCCAGGCGCAGCTTCACTCCCCACTCCTCTACCTTCCTCCTGCCCTGAGCAGCACAAGGGGGTGGGAAATGGGAGGGCTGCAGTCAGTTCATAACAGTTCCTCTCTGCTGCTCCTTCCACCTGACTCTTTTCCCTGCTCCGGCGTGGGTCCTCTCCACAGGCTGCAGCTCCTTCAGGAAATATCCCCCTGCTCCAGCGTGGTCATCCCCAGGGGCTGCAGGGAAATCTCCGCTCTGATGCCTGGAGTACCTCCTTCTTCAGTGACTTTGGTGTCTGCATGGCCGTTTCTCGCACCTTTTTCCTCACTCCTCTCTCTCACAGCTGCCACATAGCACTTTTTACTCTCTCAAATACATTATTACAGAGGTGCTGCTATCGTGGCTGTGGGGCTCAGCAGTGCCCTGCGGTGGGTTGGTGGGAGCCAGCTGAACCTGGCCGTGTCCAGCACAGCGCAGCCCTGGCCTCTCCTCACATAGACTGCCCCGCAGCTCCCCAGCACCTGAGCACCTGCGCCCAATATGGGAAAGTATTCATGTACTAGTCATGGTTTCTGTCAGACTTAAGAAACACATCAGCTTGCCAGAATAGAAACCTTCATGTGAACACTGACTTTGGACCAGCACACTGCTAGCTCTCTAATTTATGCAGCGCAATGGCAGATGTCACCTGCCATCAAACCTCCACCCTCCTTCACAACAGGCATAACGCTACGCAAGAAAAAGCCTCTTCCTCAAATTTTTGTGGTAGTTTTAATATGCACTGAACTTGACTGTAGATCAGGAATCTTCAAGGCATAAACAAGGTACTAAATAGGGTTAAAATATGTACAGGTTCAGCCTTTTTTCTCCACTACACCAATGAAGGGGAGAAAAATCATTACACCTAGATGTAAGGTACAGCAAAACTCAACTATGTTCTTTCTTTCTATGGAAACCTACAGCAATTCAAGGAGTATCTATCTTTCATCTCTTCTAGAAACTGGCTGAATGACACGAAGAAAGGAAGAGATGATAAGGGGCAAAGAGAGGTACCTGAAAATAGCAAAAATTCAGTTGGCATGCTGTCTGCTTCCTGTAATTTGTTGAAATTCTTCAAAAAAAAAGCTCTTTCAAGATGAGAAATTTTAAGAATGCACCCTGCCAAGCACCACTGTCAGGGCACACAGGAATGGCTACCCACTCTGCATCCTACTGCCAAAGCATTTGGCAATTCCTTTTTGTCTCAGGGCAACCAAAGCTTTTTTGTCCCAAACAAGACTTTGATCTTGCTACTCCACTGAGGGGTTCCTCAAGATTCTCCCTTCTAATTTTCAGCTAAATCTATTAATCATCAATCTATACATCTTTTAGCCAAATACTTCTCCCCTTCTTTAGCATCTATTCTGCTGGAATGCTTTCAGAAACATATGTAACTGGATGCCTCTTCAGCACTCACTTCAATAGACTAAAGAAATCTTGCTGTCCCTTTCCTCCTCCCAAGACATTTCTAGCATCTATGTTACCTCACTGGACCTGTTCCTGGTTAAATTCTTGTTTCTTAAATGAATATGGACAGAAAGTGTATACAATATACCACACAAGGTCTCATTATAGAGACATATATTTCTCATTAATGACCATACCATGGAAGACCACACCTGCCTTTTTCAGAGTTGTACTTCATGAGCAGCTCAATCTCCCACCCCTTCTTCAGATAAAACACTCGGATCCTCCTCCTCCCCCTCTACCGCTTCTGAGCTGATAAACTTTCAACAAACTTTCATTGGTGTGTAATCTATCCTAAGGTGCATGAAGTTTCATAGTACACCATTCTATTTCAAATTATTTCTTTTACCTACTCCTGGGGTTCATCATCATTTCTTGCTATCTTGTGCTCTGATTATCCTAATTATTTGCAATATTTCAAAACTCTAATCAGAGGTTACCCACATTTTGGGCTAATAACATTACTGAAAATTCTGAAGTATATCGGTCCTAAAACTGTTACTTGAAAAAAATGAACTCTGTGAGGATTCCTCCTCTACACTATCTTCTCTACTAACCTCCCTCCTTCCATTAGCAAAGCTGGAGATTTTCTTTGTGGCACTGCACCTCCATAGAGGATTTGGTTTAAATACATAAGGCCATCTAATTTTTAGATGAAGATGTGCAAAACAACCAGATGAATCTGATAGCATCTTTGTAAGTCTAGAGTGTGTTCTATGTCATTCACCTCGATTTTCAATTACTTTCCTACAGAAAATTATATGCCAGACTTCAGAATGGACTAAATATTCCATTTGTCATGTTCCAGTCACAGCACCACCCTTGACTTGAACAACTTGAAAATATTTACAGTCATTCCACCGTTCATTATACCTATGTCTTCAACTTTGCACGTTCAATATACTTAATTTTATTTCTACCCCAACACTTGATTGTTCCCTTTTTCATAACCTCATTCTTGTTACTCATTTTATCTTCACCCCTCGTTCAGTACATTCATATTCATAAAGTAAATTCTTACTTTAAACAAGGAAAAATACTCATTTAGTTTTAGGGCCCTAACAAACTCTATTTTCAAAATAAAAACAGCCACAGAAAATAGATATTTTTCTTCATCTTTCCGTCACCTTTAAATACATCAATTGCTGAGCATTCATCCACAAACCCCTCATCACCATTCCATCCAGACAAGTGGATTCACAACAAAACCTAATCTATAAAAGTATCTCTCTCCTGTTGATCTAGTGACTATATGATGACACCCAGGACAACACAGGACAAAAGAAATAAACCATATGTCACCAAAACAACTTAGGCAGACATTTGAAGGCACACCATGCAGTGTGGTGCTACTACTTTTGAACTTTGGTTTTTTGCTGCCTGAATAGCGTATACCCTTTGAAACTTGCGGTGTTCTCGTCACTGCTATTCCACCAAGTGTCTGCCATACTCATAAATGGTCTCAGATCCCACATACACCAGCTGATTAAGTTTCTCTATTTTATTGCCAATGTATCTGTTAGTATATCAAGACATTTAAGACAGAAACAGTGCTTTCCTGAGTTCCACAAAACTCCTTGTGTCCGAACTCCATCCACTGCTCTGTTACATCACGGCCATTCCTGGAACACCATTAAAGAGTGAATACAACAGTCAGCTGAGGGGGGCTGTCTTCTGCTAACGAAACCACTCCAGGCAGACCAAATTTCAAGCCACCTCTAGCTATAAAATTATGATAG